CTGAAACATCACACCACACTCCAGCCTATGAATGCATGCAAAAAAAGGACTGAAGGATTCCACCAATCTACTATTCTCCACTCTAATGAGTCCAATGCTTCTGGTCCCTTCTAGCCTTCTTATCGCTTTGAAAGATGATGACGAGCATGGAATGGAAGGGGTCTTCCAGCTGTTGTTGGAGACCTAATACTAATGCAATACACGGCTCTACTTAATCGCGACTCGATCCAGATAGGTTGAGTTCGACTCATGACTGAGTCCCTCCGTGAATGTCATATGAGACAGGGTTTTCAATGTCCGCGCTAGTCATACTATTTTGATGATGAAACATCGTTTGATATTTAGCCAGCGTGGAGTACTTCCACGCTACTAGATCCAGGACTAGACAACTTCCACGCTTCCGTTTTAGGATCGTGAGAGAGTAGGATTACTACTACACCTACTCTATCACATTTTATAGTCTCCCGCGGGAAGTCCAGATCTACGATCCTTTGATGATGATCTCTCTCGTTGATTAGTTTCATAAGCTTTCTATTCTCTCTCATAACTTTCATCTCTCAAACTCAAAACACTCAAAGATCTTTTACACTAGCTTTTAGCGTAGTGCAATTTTGTTAACAAACACAATAGCTTTCAGCTACCCTCAACCTATTCTCACCATGAAGATGGCTCAAGGAAAGCATCGTTCCGCAACTCTGAGAAACAGTTGCGTGACAAAACCATTCTTCCTCTCGTCGACAATGACGAAGAACACGAGATTGACGAACCGTGCCACCACTTCAAATTCGCAACCATGTTGCCAATCGCAAATCAGAAGATTCTTACAATGAGGACAACTCCTTTATCAATTTCAATCACTTGATGGAGAAATCTCTATCTGAGGATTAGGCCAGGATGATGACTCAACGGAACACCTGTTCCGATTTCTCATACCAAGTGATGAAGATATCTCACTAACTAGTAAACAAGAATGTTTGCAACTGATACTCTACGGCAAATTAGATGATTGCTAGAAGATGCTCAACTAGACTCTGATGAATATTTAGCATCGTTAACACCGTCCGTGGCAAACCACCATCGTAAACGTCGCAAGACAAGAGACTCAAACCCATGTTTATGGTTAGATTAAACAGCGAGAAAAAGGGAAACCAAAACCGTTACACTCCGTTGCTTGCTGGATACAGGAGCATCGGAACCTTGAATGCTCAAACTCATGCTTAAGAAATTACGCATGAAGGATCTTGGGGGCGTCCAAACATTGGACTACACCTGCAGGAGATTTAAACACCAGCACGAAGTGCAAAGGTGCAATTATGATTCCTGAATTCCACGAAGATAGATTTATCGAGTGGGATTACACGTCACCAAGAGCTTGGGGGGCGTATGACATGACATAGGTCGAGATATTCTCTCTGACTTAGGTTTCAAGTTCGAATTCACTACCATGAGTGGAATGGGACGGGCATCTATTCCTATGAAAGATAGCGACACCAATGAAGAAGAAAACTTTTTCTTCCTGATCCTACCGCTGTAGATGACAGTGCAGATCGTCTCAAGAAGATTCATTGATGGCGAAATACGAACAAGCTGACTTAAGGCAGGTTTTGCCATAGTCAAGATCAGTTAAACAAAGGAAGAGAAGGAAATCATCCTTATGAAGATTACTCCGACCTATTCGATGGTATTTTGGGAAAGTGGCAGATGGACACCTACGAAGTAGAACTTCTCCCTGATGCTAAACCCTATCATGCAAGGGCTTACCCTATTCCACGTGTCCATACCACACTCTTAGATGGAGGTTGAACGTCTCTGCGAGGCAGGAGTACTCAAGAAGGTAAACCGTTCCGAGTGGGAGGCACCAACCTTTCATCATTCCAAGAAAGGCGGATCTGTACGATTCATCTCTGATTTCCGGGAACTGAACAAAAGGATTAAAGCGGAAGCCTTATCCTATCCCAAAATAACAGGACATGCTCTTGAATCTAGACGGATTCAAAGTACGCTACTAGTCTAAGACCTGAACATGGGATACTATCACATCGAGCTGTCACCTCACTCGAAGCACTCTGTACCATCGTACTCCCGTGGGAAAGTACGAGTACAGAGTTGCCAATGGGCCCTATGTAATATCCCGACATCTTCTCAAGAGAAGATGGGAACACTAATGCACGACCTAGAATACGTCCGTGCATACATTGATGATCTACTCATCCTAACTGACGGCGATCTAGCAGATCACGTTGAAAAGTTGGGATGAAGTTCTCCGAAGGGTTCGAGAAGCCGGACTCAGAATCAATGCTACCAAGTCCTTCTTCGCAAGAGAGAAATTGAATATCTAGGTTACTGGATTACTCGAGAAGGAATCACATCCTATAACCAAGAAAGTAGATGCGATCAAGACTATCGCTCCTCCTACCAACAGGAAGGAACTCCGTAGATTCATTGGACTAGTGAACTACTATGAGACATGTGATAGAACGATCACATGTACTGGCCCCACTCGCTTCTTCGTTGACTTCAAAACAACGAAGTGGAAAGGGAAACCGAACACGACAAGCCTATAGCCAGATGAAGAAGACATCAGCAAAGAAACCTTGCTGCCTAACCCTGACTTCAACGATACATTCGTTTTCCACACGGATGCGAGTGATACCTAACTAGGTGAAGTAATTTCCCAGAAGGGAAAACTATCGCGTTCTACAGCAGGAAGCTCAACCCTGCTCAAGACGCTACACAGTTACCGAGAAGGACTTCCAAGTATCGTAGGAAATCTAAAGAATTCCGTAACTATTCTTCTAGGACAGAAGATCGTTGTACATACGGACACAAAGAATCTTACATGTAAGAACTTCAATACCGATGCGTAATGCGATGGCGCCTTATTCTGGAAGAATACGGCCCTGAACTACGGTACATCAAGGGCGAACAGAACATCGTCGCCGATGCGTTGTCGAGACTTAACATCTCAACAACGACGGGTTCTTCAGAACAGATGGACGCCAGCGAGATCCGCTGACTCATGGCTGCAACGAAGAGGACTTCCCTAGTGAGTTCCCTCTCTCGTTCCCCGAGTCGAACATCGTCAGAAGACGACAACTATATCAAGAAGCTCCTCAGGGACAAGCCAAACGACTACAAGAAGCAATCTTTCCCCAGAGGGGATAAGTCCTACGATTAGTAGTCAAGACGAGAAAAAATCGTCGTACCTAAAACTATGCAGAAGAAGCTAGTTGAATGGTACCATGGTGTGCTGATGACATCCTGGCGAGACTCGCACGGAACTAACCATCAGCCAACACTACACCTGGAAAGGGCTGCGCAGGACTGTGCAGGCCGTATGTCAGCGTTGCAAAGCTGCCAGATGAACAAACCCAAGACGCGTAAGCTGGATTGATCTCCAAAGACTTGCGAGGAGATCCCTTGGGAAAGACTATGTATTGACCTGATAGCCCTTACAACGTCGGGGATCCAAGAAAAAGAATTCCTGCACACTTCATTGCTTGAAATGATTGATTCCGTAACCGGATGGTTCGAGATTGCAGAAATCTGCTCCAAGGCAGCAGACGAAGTAGCCATCGTCCTAGAACAAACGTGGCTTACTCGGTATCCATGGCCTGCTGAGGTATCATGGATAGAGGACGTGGTTCCGCGCAGAGGTCGAAAAGACACTCCGGGATGAATATGGACTTCGTCGCAAGTTCATCACCACGCGTAACCCTCAAGCCAACTCTAGGTCGAGCGTGCTCATCAAACCATAGTAACTTGATCGCTGTTCAAACAATCAAGTGCCAAGACGACTCGGAATGGATCCTGGGATGGATCCTACGGCGGTTCGCTTTTGCAATGAATGACGATTCATACCACCTTGCGTGCAACGCCCGCACAGCTCGTGTTCAATCGTGACGCGATTCACAACGTCCGTTCGAAGCAACTGGAAGTACATAAGGAACGCGCCAACGACTAATCCAACAAAACAACGATAGGGAAAACGCAACGCGTGTCCCTCATCAATCAATGTCAACGATACTGTGATGATTTGAACAGTATCAGCACCGCAAGTAGGTCAGCCAAAGTACAAAGGCCTTACACTCTATAGACGAGTCAATGACAAATGGCACTGTACGGCTCCAACATGCTACCGCCAACGGCGGCACAGTCTACCAGACTTGGAACATAAGGTATATACACCCATACCAAGCCTGATCCCCTTGTAGGATTGCCATCGTGCGACGCACATGTCTACATCCAAATCTAATGAGAGTGCCCCGCACTTTAAATCATATGTTCTCCTTGTCCGACTGCTGTCGCGCCTTCTGTGACCCTTGTCAGGGGGCGAATGCAATACACGGCTCTTAAGCCTTATTCGCGACTCGATCCTAGATAAGGGTTTGAGTTCGACTCATGACTGAGTCTCTCGTGAATAGTCACTTGAGACAGGGTTCTCATGACCGCGCTAGTCATAATAGGTTGATGATGAAACATCGCTCTAGATATTTAGCCAGCGTGGAGTACTTCCAACGCTACTAGATCAGGCTAGACAAACACTCACGCGTTCCGTTTAGGATCGTGGAGAGACGTAGGAATTTACTACAAACTAACTCTATCACACTTTATAGTCTCCGCGGGAGACCTTAGCGGTTGACAAGGGTTGCTTCGAGCGAATCCAAGGGAATTAAGTTGCAATAAGGGAAGGACTACCGATGAAGATAATGAGAGGAAACTCAGGACTCTGCATCAAGGGATAGCTCATTCCATTGACAACCATAAAGGATAGACATATAAGAACAAGAATGAGTAACATCTCATAACCTCGCATGCTACCATGCGACAATACCATTGTGCATTGACTAGTCTAGGGATCTAAGAGATGTAAAGTTTGTATTTCTAAATAAGTGAGCAGTTATTGATTATTTTCTAGAATAAGCCTGCTAATTGTAAAGCTGTAAAGCTGAATTGTAAGCTGTATCCCGTCGCATGCAAATTAGCCATCCAGGACGACAATGTCCTCTGGCTAGTACCCGACTGGAAATCACTCCTGTATCTGCCTCCAGTGCACAGCAGGCTCGTCGAAAGGGCCCGAAATCACGATTTACATGTAATTCTGTTTTATATTTGGGTTTCGATTTTATATTTTGGTTTCGATTTTATATTTAGGTTTCGGTTTGATATTTAGGTTTCGGTTTGATTTTACTAGTTATTCACCATAGTAATTTGGTTTCGGTTTTATATTTCGGTTTCGGTTTTATATTTAGGTTTCGGTTTTATATTTTGGATTGGAATTGATCAATTTAATTGGATTCTTAAAATCCTGATTTCGGGCCCTTTCGTCTCAGTCTGCCAGGTTTTCTGGGAACCATTTGTGGGTATTTGCTGATTCGTCCCGCCAGAGCCCTGGAAACCAATGAACTGCCATCGATTGTCCAGAAGTATGCCACAACAGCCAAATTGGCCGAAGAGGCTGGCTGGGATGGTGTTCAAATCCATGCAGCACATGGGTATTTGATTGCACAATTTCTGTCGCCATCTGCCAATCAGCGGACCGACAAGTATGGAGGAAGCGCAGAGGGACGCAAAAAGTTGCTGCTGGAAGTCATTGCTGCTATACGGAAGGTCACCTCACCATCGTTTGTAGTGGGTATCAAGGTCAATACCAAAGATCGCGCTACAGAAGGAGCAGAACGCGAAACAGAATGCTTGCATCTCATTCAAGAGCTTTGTGGCATGGAGCAGTTGGATTTCATTGAGCTGTCAGGTGGTGGTTTCGAAGATGCAATGTTCGTCACCACGACAGACTCGGCGGCTACTGGCACATTTGGATCCTTTGCCGAACGCTTGAAGAGCCAACTACAATTCACAGAAAAATCTCCCAAAATCGTACTCACTGGTGGATTTCGAACCAAGGCTGGCATGCAACAAGCCCTGAAGCAGCACCTGTGCGACATGATTGGATTGGGAAGGCCGGTTATTACATATCCCCAATTTTCCACCAAACTCTTGGCTAGCAGCAATGATGACGTTCAATCCACTTGTTCCACATTGCAGGCCCCAATCTTTGGGGAAATCCTGGATGCGGCATTGAATAGTTTGTGGTATCAAAGACAACTGCACCGCATATCGGTTGGACTGAACCCCAATCCCAATCTATCCTACCTCTATACCCTGGCAGTGTCCTTTTTCTTGGCATACATTTGGGACTTTGACTTTGGAGGGCATGCTCTGTACAAAAAGAATTCTACCGGGACCAACACAGACAGCAATAAGAACAAGAAGGAGTAATTTTCTTTACCCAAATGTACTGTTGCTACTGGTATCCTCACGATCGCAGCCAGTATTCTGTGCCCTGGTGAGTGTGAAGTGAATTACTCCAAAGAAGTGGAGGAGAGAAATGGATTTGGTGGGTCTGGACTCTTGTAGAGAAGGTTGGGCGGAGGGTCTCTTCCAACAGTCTTTCTTGAAGTAATCCATGTGGTGGCTGGCGGAATCTCAGTGCAAGTTTCTTCCAGCTTGGCAAAATAGTAGTCCACATCCTTGTTGGTTCCCGGTTGTGTCTCATCAATAATAGAGAGAAACCAGAAAGCTTTAGCTCTTCCCAGTTGACACTTAATGATTCTCAGCATGCACTCAGCCCCATCGCGGGTACTGTTCAATGTATAATAAGGTGTGCTTCCAAAGAAACCAGATCGCCGGTACACACCATTAGGACCCAGCCCCTTCCACCTTGATTTCTTCTGGTGACTCTCCATTGGGAAGCCATGATCTAGCCCACGATGGTTGTAAACGCGGCTTTTGAAAGTCTGGTAAGCCTGTACCATCTTGTGCTGCCCTGGCTTGGCTCTTGTATGCTTCAACAAGCTGATCATGTGTTACCAGCCCAGACTTAGCAATTGAAGTTTCTAGATGATGAAACGGAATTTTCCCGAGGTCAATATGCCTGGAAAGACTCAACGCTGCAAGGCGACGGGAAGTTTGCTCTTCTGGCGAAGAGCATGCTCCCTCCACCCACAGACAAAGCAACTGGAATAATTGGTATTCATTCATTTGCATACCTGGATCCTTGAGGAGAATATCCAACACATAAGAACTGAGACAGGAAAGATGCTTTGCAGCAAGATCTCCATTTGAGAAGGGGAATGATCGTACAAACGAAAGAGCCTTGTCCGTCACCTCAGAAACACAGGGACCTCTTTTCACACAGGCCTCTAAAGTTTCAAAGGAAAGGCAGGGCCATTGCTTCAAGATGCCGCCAGCGACTTCAAGAACAGCCTTCGCAAGCCCGGGCAGGTCATAGTAGAAAGCAGCTTCTGTCAATGAAACAAGCACTTTTATTTCCATAGAATAGTAGGGTGGAGCCTTTTCTTTATTGCAACTTGTTTTCCATTTTTGCAGAATCTCGGCAGAATTGGTGTGAACATATTCAACCAATGCCTTGACCACATCCCCTGAAAATCCAATGTTTACAGAGTCAAGTGAAGCCTCTTGGAATTCACCAAAGAGCAGGCCATGAAATACTGTGCTTCTGGCAGCCAGAACCACACGGTTGGCTGCCACTTTTATGCTGTCATTTCCCTTCAACGTGACATCATGAAACTGATCATCTGCCAAGATTTTTGCAAGCGCGCCTTCTAGAGTGACTTCTGCGGTGTTTCCATTCTCCATGTTGACCATTGTTTGCAGTATGGTATCGTATTGAGTAGCCAACAAGCACCCGTACGTGTACACTGTGGTCCTGCCAACAAAAACAAAATGGCAAAATAAGTATATTGATTTTGTGACTCATTGAAGGGGGGGAGCGCGCCCCCCAAGCGCCCCCCTCAAGGAATTCCGTAACAGTACATGTAAATAGTTAATATCGCATTCCTTGAATGCTGGATCTCTGAAGCTTTTAATTCGTACGGTGCGATACGGTGCGGTGCGCAGGTACAAAAATCATCAACGAAAATTCTCTGCAAAATACTAAAAGACTGTCAACTGATGTAATACTAATACAACACTAAAAGTGTTCGGGGGAAGTGTTCAGGAGAAGTGTTCAGGAGAAGTGTTCGGGAGCAGTGTTTGAGAGAAGTGAAACCAAATTTGCAGAGGAATGCGATTCTCAGCTTGCCTTTTGTTAGCTAGCAGCCTGCTCAAAAGAAGTGAAAGAGAGAAATTGATTTCGTGGGCAACGCTTCTTGTAGAGAACCTTGGGTGGGTCTGTTCCAACAGTTTTGGAGCAACAAATCCATGTGTCGGCCGGCGGAATGTCAGTGCCAATCTTTTGATACGAAGACCTGTAGTGTCGAACGTCATTGCTGCTTCCTGGCTGTAGGATAGAAAGAAACCAGCAAAAATCACCATCTAAATAATGTTGCCTGAACATTGTGATTGTGCAGTCCTTCCCATTGTGTTTGCTGTTCAATGTGAAAGAGGGAGCACCATTCATTCGTCCTGAACGCCCATAGACACCGTTGATTTCTCCTGATTGAGCCCCTTCCACTTTAATTTCACGTGGAAGTTCTTCATTGGCAGGCAATGAGCTGGCCCATTGCTGAAAACGTGGGTCTTCAAAGTCTGGCAAACCTGAGCCATCTTGTGCTGCTTGGGCTTGGGTCTTGTAGGCTTCAAAAAGTTGATCTTTTGTTACCAGACCAGAATCTGTGACTGTTGTTGACAGGTGCTGAAATGCAATTTTACCAAGGTCAATATGCTTGGAAAGGTGTGAAGCTTCCTGACAACGCGAAGCTTTCTCATCAACAGAAAGGTATCCTGCCTCTGTCCACAGACTCAGCAGCTGAAACAGTTGGTATTCAGTCACTTGCATCTCTGTGTCCTTGAGTAGTAGAACCATCACATCAGAACTGAGACTGGCAAGATGCTTTGCTTCAAGATCACCATTGGAGTAGGATCGCACACCAGTGAGAACCTTGTCTGTCAGCTCGGGAACTGAAGGACCTGTCTTCACACAGGCTTCTAGAGCAAGCAATGAAAGACATGGCCATAGTTTTGAAATGAAGGTCATTGCATCAAGGACAGCCTCAGCAAGGCCTGGTAGATCGTAATATGCAGCAGCATCTGCCAGTGAAACCAGCACTCTGATTTCAAGGGAATTGTAGGGGGCATCGTCTTCAAAGCTGAAAAATTTCCACTTTCGAAGAATCTCTGCAGAGTTTGTGTGGACATATTCAACCACAGTCTTAACCACATCTCCAGGAAACGCAACCTCAACACAATCAAGGGATGCCTCTCGGAATTCACCAAAGAACAGGCGATGAAACACTTTGCTTCTGACCGCAAGGACTGCACGGTTGGCTGGGACTAAAACACCATCGTTTCCCTTCAAAGTGATGTCTTGGAGCTTGTCATCCCGCCAGATGTTCCTGAGGGCTTCTTCAAAAGGGGCTTTGCTGATGGTGCTGCCGGTAGACTTTTCCATTGCGACGATGATCTCTTCTGCTAGGATACGGTACCGCAGGGTGCATGCAGCAAGCGAGGAAGAATTGTGAAGCAAACGTCAAAGGTCGTGCACTTGGGCGTCGCGGTATGGAGAAGCAAGAGCCGTGCGTGGAGACCAAAAACGAGTTGAGCGAGGAGCCGTTGCAGCGAATAGACCACCGTGGAAGCAGTCTGAGGGACATTCCTCGCATTGCCGTACGGGCACGATAGAGGACGTCCAACGAAGAGCTTCCACCATTCCGGAGAAGACTCGAGCGAAGAGTCGTCGTTCAACAAACAACGTATGAGCCACCGTGCAAGGCCTTTCCTGCGCCGAAACAACGGTTCCACTCTCAGCGTACCGGCATTGGACATTAGCTAACGTAGGGTACGGAGAACGCAGCATCGTTGAGATTTGGATGATGACTACTCCCGACGGTGAATCTCCACGCCAACGTGGTGGTGGAGTTGAACCCAACAACCCAACTGGCTTTGTCTCTAGAGGTCCCCTTGAAACGAAATACCCACTTGTTTGTAGGTGCCGGCAGAAAGAGAATTCTGAGTAAGGCTCAACTTCCGAAATCTCTTATTCTTATAAGTCACTGTAATATACTGTATGCTTGTGTGCCAACTTGTCGACTTTGTAGTTTGCTATTCGAGTCCTGACAAGTGCACAAAACAACCGCACAATCAAAACAACAACCACAGTTCCTCGATCGTTTGTCTCCTTTCACAGCCACTACCACTATTACAAGAATATTCGAGTGACACAGACTGTTGGCTCTCGACAAATGGGGCACTTCATTTCCGTGCCACTGTCACAAGAAGATGCATACTGCAGTTCGGCGCAATCGGAACAAATGCACCGATGCCCACAAGGAATGTACGCATGAGACGGTTCCGCCTCGAAACACACGACACACGTGTTGTTTTTCTGTTCGTCCACTTCCTCCTCTCCAGCAGCCGTAGAGCAGGACGATATGGATGCGGTTTCGTCCGTGTCGGATGCCTTGTTGTTTTCCTGTTGATTGCGATTGTGGAGTAGCAACGAATCTAGGTTTTGTAGTCCTCGTAGATTGCGTCGATTGGTATGCATCAGTTCCTTGTTTTTCATCTTGGCAAAAACGTCCTGAAAACCAGAACTGCCCATGTGCAACAAGATGCAGTCTCCCGTCAGTCGTTGCTCTGCCTCTTGCTTGTCATCTTGCCATCCTTCATAGGAGAATTGGGTGGCATCCAAAGCGCGGATATTTGGGTCGGAGCGATCGCCATCATGGAGGCGCTGTTTGGTTTGCATGCATTGTACCTTTCTGTGAAAGAGCGAAGTTGTTGCGTCGGATGCCGATGACGAGCAAAAGTATTCTAGATAGAGTCGTTCCGCCGAAGCCTTGTCGTATTCCCACCCTGGGTAGTCCAAGGGAAGTCTCTCCAAGTACTGCAGCTCCTCCACTAAAGTTCGGTCTCGAAAAGCTTGCTCTTTTCGCTTCATTTCGTCAAATTTGATTGCAAATTCTCCCAAAAACAGCAAGCAACAATCACCCAATATTCGCTGCATGGCTTCTTCCTTGTCAGCTTGCCAGCCATCATAGGAAAAAACTTGACTTTCCAATGCTACTAAATCTGGATGAGATTTGTCGCCTTCCACCAATACTTTTTGCTTGATTGCCATGGCGGTGACCTTTTTGTGGAATAACGCCGACTCGGGATGATCCATGAACAACCGTTCGGCAATGGCCAAGTCGGCTTGTGCGCCATCATACGTACAGTGTAGTTCGTCCAGTTCCCGCAAGGCATCAAAACTGTGTCGATTGTGGTGGATCCGTTCTTTGCGTCTCATCAATTCCAGTTTTTCCGCAAAGGATCCCAAATACAAGACACTGCATTCACCCGAATGGATCTTGATGGCGTCTTGCTTGTCCTGTTCCCAACCGTCGTAGGAAAACACTTCATTTTCCAAGGCAACCATATCGGGATGAGATCGGTCGCCTTCGTGCAGTGCCTGTTTGTTGACCATGGCTTGAATCTTTTTGTAAAAGGAGCTTCCCGGTCGTGGAGCGCCGTTGGATGCGCCATTTTGGGCAAAATACTGCTCCGCAATCGCCTTGTCTTGTTCCCAGTTCGGATACGACAGTTTCATGTTGTTGCGTCTTGCAGTGTTGCCATTTTGATCATTATCGCTGGTTGTTGTAACATCCAGACTGCCGAGGCTACTACTAGTTTGATGAGTTGACAGCATGGTGAGAAGAGTGTTGGAAGATACTGTCGAATCCTTTCTTCCAGGGTGTCAAGTGGATACGGTAGCCCTTTCAACCAAGCAACAAGAGTTGAAGAGCTTCAAAAAATGAGACTCGAGTTCTGCCAAGCCAGCATGCTTTTCTACCATGTGCCGTGGAGTTCTACTGTGCCTCGTCATGGGCAGCTGTTCACCCTCTGTCTTCAAAATACGAAATTTCATCATATTTGCGTCAGAAAGTGTCCTCCACTGTTCTTCGTGATCAACTCTTCCCAAGCATTGTTTTCCCGCTCGGGATTGCCAAGGCTTGCGTTGGCTGAGAATTCGTTCGACGTCGATTGAATTCCAGCATTTCCACCAAACCTGACAAAGAGCTTTTGGATCATCCCCACACCCAAAGCACACAAATCGAAAATCCTCTCAGGAAGACAACCACAACAAACACAAGTACAATACGGTACGCACAAGTAACTGATCTATTATTATTATCATCAGCAACATCATGAATCCAAAGGCTCTTGTTCACGTTACCATGACGAGCGATCTCATGTGCCCATGGTGCTGGGTCGGTCTTCGCAAACTTCAAGAAGCAGCCAAGAACACCAACATTGAGGCGGTGGTGGAATGGAAGCCATTCCTGTTGCGTCCCAACCATCCGGAAGAGGGAGTCTTGAAAACAGACCCTACTCCTGCCAGCCGTGTTGGAAGGCATTTGAAAATGGCCGGTCAAAGTGTGGGTATTGATTTCACTGGCTTGACGGACCGCACTCCCAACACCACGCTCTTTCATGCCGTTATGAAGTACCTCCAGGACGATCTCAAGATGAGTCCCAAGGATGCCACTGCCTATCATGAAGCAGTCTTTGAAGGGTACTTTACATTGGGTGAATTCCCCGACCAAAAGGGTCTTTTGAAGGCAGCGAGCCGTGTCCCCAATCACAGTGAATCCTTGACCAAGTGTATTGCGGGCTTGTTCCAGGACTCCCAGAAACTTGTGGCATTGAAAGATGATGTTCGCAAGGAAGCGTATGAAGCTTCTCGTCGTGGCATTTCGGGAGTTCCATCCTTTGCGGTCAATGGAAAGACCTTGTTTTCGGGTGCCCAGCCTGTGGAAGTCTTTGAGGAGGTGTTGACACGGTTTGCTCACCAATAGGAAGAATGATCATGTGAGGAGTTCTTTTTTAAATTATCAAAATCAGAATGAATGGTCAAGTGAAAAATTATAGTGAAGAAAGTTACACAGATTTTCAATCAACTTGCCCAGTCTGGTCTCTGCCCTGGTGTTGCTTTAGCTTTTCCTAATGATATGCTCTGGATTGCTTTAGTTTTTCCTAATGATCAATGAGGCTTTCTCCAAATGCCTCATTTGTACGACATGATAGCAGGTTTTGTACCGGTGGCTCTGTAGCGTGAGAAGGAAGTGCCGCTGTTCCATGGCTCGTACATGTGTTTAGCTGTAGACTATTTGTTGTTGAAAGAGTGGAAGAGGCTGAATCGATGTTCCAAAGGTGTAGTGCAGCTCAAACAGCTTATGTTCTATCATCCATTTGGCTCCTCATTGCTCCTGGCTGGGTTGACGCAAGACCTGCACACCTGTATAGCTTTAAAATCGCTTCCTTGAATGGACACACAGCGGAAATAACATGTTAAAGCCCAATTTTGAAGATACAAACGTTTTACAGTTGCCTTACTGCTTTGCTATTAATAGTTAATAAAGGACTCTCTACATGTAGTACCGGTACAGCAAATCTTACGGTAACACTCTGAATAATGCTTACATACTTGATGGTGAGAAACCAGGCTACCAGTAGCTACCGTACAGTCGTAGTACGCAGCTCACAACTTTCAGCTCAACAGCTCAAACAGCTTATTACCTGCTTTGGCTCCTGACTACTACTGTACTGTACTGGCAGCTGTACTGGCACAATCCCTCAATGGGCACAATGGCACAAACAGCGGAAAGTGGCCTTTTTGTCTAATTAAAAATGGAAAAGCCTCATTCTGATGAACAAAGAAGAGCAATCCATGCCCACTTCATGACTCAAGCTTGAATTAAGTCAGCGGGAGCTGCGATACCTCGGCAGAAAGACAGATAGAAGAAGGATGATCATATTCGAGATTGCACCCATCTTTCAAGCTAGCCCTGGCGACAACACCCGACTACGTCGTGTGTTGCCGCCCGGTATCATTCATTCCCTCATTGCAACCTTCTTTTTATTAAGCTAGCCCTGGCGACAACACCCGACTACGTCGTGTGTTGCCGCCCGCTACTCTATAATTTACCAGCTGCCATTCCCTTATTATAACTCTAACCTTTACAGCTCCTGCTGGCTTATTGTGCTGTTGTGCTGATTGCACTAACCTTAAATATTAATGATTTATTCCTACTCCTAACTTGTATTGAACCATCAATGTTCAGTTTTGTTGGCTTATGACTATCTCTATCCTTATACTTTGGCTTCACCGGAATAGGAAATAGGAAATAGGAAATAGGAAATAGGAAATAGGAAATAGGAAATAGGAAATAGGAAATAGGAAATAGGAAATAGGAAATAGCATTAAAGGGGTTGAGAACTCAGGCAGTTTACCTGCCGAGGTAATTAAGTCAGCGGGAGCTGCGATACCTCGGCAGAAAGACAGATAGAAGAAGGATGATCATATTCGAGATTGCACCAATCTTTCAAGCTAGCCCTGGCGACAACACCCGACTACGTCGTGTGTTGCCGCCCGGTATCATTCATTCCCTCATTGCAACCTTCTTTTTATTAAGCTAGCCCTGGCGACAACACCCGACTACGTCGTGTGTTGCCGCCCGCTACTCTATAATTTACCAGCTGCCATTCCCTTATTGTAACTCTAATCTTTACAGCTCCTGCTGGCTTATTGTGCTGTTGTGCTGATTGCACTAACCTTAAATATTAATGATTTATTCCTACCCCTAACTTGTATTGAACCATCAATGTTTAGTTTTGTTGGCTTATGACTATCTCTATCCTTATACTTTGGCTTCACCGGAATAGGAAATAGGAAATAGCATTAAAGGGGTTGAGAACTCAGGCAGTTTACCTGCCGAGGTGATGACTTCTTGAGCTCTGCGGAAACAAAGGAGAAAGGATGCGGAGCTGAAGAATGTAAGCATTAAGTCAGCGGGAGCTGCGATACCTCGGCAGAAAGACAGATAGAAGAGGATCGCATTTGAGATTGCTGCAATACATGTACAAAGAGGAGAATCTGGAGGATCAGTAGGTAGACCACTGGCTAATACAGTACGTCGACAATGACACAGAAGCATTTCATTTACTGTAGCCGTATTTCTCTACAAGCCTGGCAATATATTTTTCCGCCACCACAAACCCTTGCGAGCACAAATTGCTTTGTCAAGTGATTCTTTAACCCGCTCAAGTTGTAGATTATGATGGGTTGCACTATCTTTCCTCTCTCTTGCAATTTTCTTTCTATCATACGTATGTTGAAATATGTTGCACTCTGCTTCGTAGAAACCCGGATCCTTCGCATGGAGTTTCTGTTGCCTTTCGTCCCAATCATGCCTTAAGATTGCATGTTCTTTCTTTGCTGTTCTGTGATGTCTGTAAGCTGAGCTTTCATCCATCCTCCATTTACAGAGGTTTCTAGGTCTTCAACACCACGTAGCTTCTGCAGCTTATGTCGCTCCAACTTCAGCTCAAGCTTTAGCTTGCTTATTTCCAAAGCTCGATCAATCCAGCGCTTTCTTTCTTTGAAATCCTGTGCCTCAGCATCAAAAAATCCTTTGATCGAGTGTCTGATCTGTTTCCTTTCTTGATCCTTCATTTTGGCAATCAAATATTCTTCTATAGATTGTTGTTCTCGATGCTTCTGCATGAAGTCTCTTTTGACTTTCAACTCTGTGTGCCGTTCCTCGTCTGTTTGTTGTGCCTGCTTCTTCTGTCTGGATCGCCGATTGGCTTCAATCTTCCTGCGGTAAGCAGGTGTTCCATACTTGACTGGCATGGTTGCTTTGCCGTGGACCCGAGTTGGTGCGGTGACAAATGGTCGTTGCCCTCTCGATGGCTGTTGTCAGGGGTCGATGCTTGATGGACGATCGAATGCGTGGCTGCAGCAAAATGTTTAACCTTAACCCTATACCCTGGCTTCACCAAAATGAGGGGGATCCCACAGACACAAAAGAAGGGGGATCCCACAGACACTGCATAGGCCTATTAAAGGGGTAGAGGACTCAGGCAGATAGACTGCCGAGGTCAAACTGTGAACTGTGAACAGCACAACAACACAACACACAACGACCCCGAAAGTACTAGTACAATAGTACAAGCAGAGGTAGCCGTCGTTAGTTATACCAGAGTTGTCAGTCTGAAAGGAGCTGACTGTTGGCATCACAAACTTGCAGTGAAAGGCAAGAACAAAGCAGAGGGCAAGATTTCTGGAATTATACTTTGACTAACCGATCAAGTAGACAAGGTACCCTGCAGCGCCGATTGAACGTACCAGTATGGGTAGCCAGGAAGGATCGAATCCGACGACAATACAAGCGGGAGTGCAGAGAGCTCCCCGAGTAAGAAACTCCTCACCTGTACGCAATACAGTCGCCCGTACCGGTAGTCGAGCACAGGATAATGGTGCTGCTGCAACGAATACCCGTGCCAGCGACGTATCGGATGCTGTGCAAGACTACGTGGATGCGATGCGATTGTCCCAGGACTCGATACCACCGTCCAACTTGGCATCTCATGATGGAACCCCGCGCAGCAGTGATTCGTCTGGGCGGAGCAACGCAACCACAGGGTCTTCTCGTGTGAGAGGCTCGACGGAACGGAGCAGCGCATCCGTGTCTACTAGTACTCGATCGAGACAACATGCGCCAATTCGAAACCGGAGACGAGCAGCACAAGAAGACTCTGATGATGTACCCGCCCGTCGTGGATCAGATGCCGTTCAGCGTTATGTTGATTCTCTAAGACTGTCCCAGCAGATGGAGCAGGAGGATCCCGACCGCATGGCAACCCTTGACGAGTCACTGAACCGAACAGGCGTTGACACGGAGGGGGAAACGGAGGACCCGAGCTCTCAGGAGAATTTGGACCAAAAGATGAAGGACACAGAAGAACAATTAATGAAGGCCAAGGGAGCCTCCGGAGAAGGTTTTGATTTAATTCCAACGCAACCTGTCCGACAAGTCTCCCAGGTACCTGGAGCCTACCCGTCGGCTCCATCGAGACCTGCTGGTAGGGAGATTAGTCAGGATCTATCCCAAGGCGTGCTTGAAGAGCTACGTAACCTGGAACCGGATATTGACCATCCATTCGATAATGGAACAAACCCTGCCAGTGTTGGACAAGAGAACGAATCATCAATGCCGATCCTCGAAGCGGTGCCAGTTACAGATGACGATGTGAGATCGCGCAGAAGCATCGAAGCAGCGGTGCGTCAAAGAATCTTACAAGAAGCGGTGCAAGCCGATGTTGTGCAAGTTGAAGACTTGGAAACTGGAGGTCACTTCAACGATGAACCTGAGGAGAAGCCGGTGCGAAAATCAAAGGGGCCGTCTCGAATGCTTGCCATTTTGCTTCTGGTGCTCTTGATTGTCGGCGTGGGTCTGGCGATTGGTCTTTCACGTCGCGGCAAAAGTGATGACGAGTCGGAGCAAGTCTCGCTGCCGGAAAGCAGCAGCGGTCTCGATGTATCATCTTCCCTATCAACATCATTGGAACAAATCAAGGAGCGTGGTCACATCAGATGTGGCATGTACGTGGATCATCCAGGCTATGGGTACCAGGATCGAAAGACTGGGGAATATTCTGGATTCAATTTTCAACTCGTACGTGCAACTGAGTATTCTTTGGTCTGATGAAGTTTCCGTGATGTCCCTAACGCGGTTTTGTTGGTTTCTTTCCAGTGTCGAGCCGTCGCAGCCGCTGTGTTTGCAGATGGAGACAGTGTCGAGGTAGTCCCCGTCAACGCTGGGAACCGTTTTGCCCGGCTCGGTGCTGGAGAGGTTGATTTGATCTCCCAGGCTACAACCTTTACCATGGGGCGAGACATTTTAGAGTTCTCCACAGGGCAAGGTTTCTCATTTTCTTATCCCTTTTACTTTTCGGGCCTGGGCTTTGGTGGGATTCAGGAGTTCGTAGAGTGCGCTGATCGGCTAGACCCATTCCATGGCGTTTGCCGGGGCTTGAAAGTATGTGTGACCATGGGTACAACGCAAGAGGCAATAGTGAATGAGCTTCTGCCAGGTCCTGTTGCTGTCCGGTTTTCTGATCCCACAGATGCCCTTCTGTACATGACGAATGGCACTTGCAATGTCATTGCAGGTAAGAGTTTGTATGCTTTCGTTGCATTAGATTGTTCCATTTGTGTGTACCTTCTAATGTCTCCTACAACTTTTTACAGCGGAACCTATCCTGATGCAACCTTTACATCTCAAACAAGCGTTCGGTTTGTTCTTGGATGAGGAGTTTGTCCTCGGAAACAATTCCTTCTCCAAGGATCCTCTCTCTCTTGTCACCCTTGATTCTGACCCTAGAGTATCTGATATTGTCAATTCGGTCGTCAAGGTGAGTCGAGTCATGATAGCTACCGGGTATGCCGAAAAGCACCGATAGGAATGGGCCTAAAACCTTCTTTAGATCATGTATGCTGCGCAGGGGATGAACATATCTCGAGACAACGTTATGTTGCACGACTTCGATCCGAGTGTCCCTACAGCGTTGAAGAATCGGTTCAAAGATGTGATTTCGGCTGTTGGCAACACTGACGAATTGTACGAGGCCGAAGCTGCACATGTGCTTCCAAAACATGGTGTCAATACCCTGAATCGACATCATGATACCGGCTTGCTGTGGTCATTCCCGTTCGGCCGCGTTGACGAGGTAAACCCTGAAGAGGCCAAAACCTCAGCCACCATGGATAGACTGCAGATTTCCGGTGTCCTCAAGTGCGGCATTTCTGGAATGGAGCAAGGCTTTGCATGGTACAACCCTGCAAAGGATGAATGGTCTGGGTTACATGTTGAGCTCTGCCGAGGACTGGCTGCGGCACTCTTTGCAGGGGATGTATCCAAAGTTGACTTTGTAGTGGTCGAGACACTCCACCGCTTCCATGCATTGCAAAATGGAACAGTGGATGTGCTGATGGGAGAGCAAGCTTCTCTAGCAAACGAATTCTTTGAACCGTCCACCGGGAATGCTTATTCCTTTTCATCTCCTTACTTCCACGGCTCCAACTCAACAGGCAACAGTTCATCATCTATTCTGGCCATGGCTACTCGACGAGAAGACAACCTCTGGAGTTCCTTTGTTTATTGGATAATCATGGCTTTGATCTACGCCGAGGAACAAAGCATCACGTCCTCTAATGCCATTGAAATGCCAACTGTGAACGTCTTCGGGGTTGGCTATGTTCAATGCTTCAGAGATCTAATCGGAGCCATCGGCAACTACGGGGATTTGTACAACACATCGCTGGCCACAGTCTTGCCACGGTCGGGCGGAAATCTCTTGAACAAGGCGCCGTACAGTCCGCAGCAAGAGGCGTTCCCGCTCCACTAATCTATCGAGATGACTTTGACAAAGAGCGTCTGGATTGCAGGCGTACAGGATCACTAGCGAACACAAGAGGACAGCCGAACATCTATTTGAAGACCGCATTTGAATATTTGAACAACTCATCAATCTTTGGTTGTTAACGGCGAGAAGCTATTGACATCGACTAGCGAGCCTGCTATAGACGGTGGTTTAAATCTCAATTCTGCAAGTCAGTGTCAGTGGACTGCTGTGACACGTGAGAGAAACTTCGTGAGTGAAACCAGGTCTGTGTTCAACCATCCTTCGCTTCTCAGGATAAGAGGTGGTTGCATGGAATATGTGCTTTTATCTGAAGGTCAGATCGAGAACAAATCTCTTTGGGCACGGTTCCAGTGAGGTTTGTGGTGTACGCGAGGACACGTCGCAACGACGATAGCCTGTGTCATGGTTGATTGCGATATCAGAATCTTTCATTGCAGTATCAAATAATGTTTTTCAAGAATCATCGTCCCTTACCTTCCCAGTTCCGTCGGAATGCTTCCACTCAAAGACGACTGCTGCAAAAACAGATCTTGCAAGTTCGTCATGAGGCCAAGAGTGCTAGGTATCTGACCGACCAGAGCGTTGTTGGAGTTGACATCAAAGAACTCTAGATGGCGAAGCAGATGTAGTTCTGGTGGCAAGGTTCCAAATAGTCCTGCATTGTTGAATATAAGACTTGTAATCTGGTTGCCGCGACAAACTGCGTGCTTCCAAGGGCACAAATCGTCGATCGAGGTGATGTTTTTATTGGTTCGATGCCAGGTTGGGTTTTTCACATGTAGACTTTCCCTTAACACAATCATTGCATACGCCGTCGCGAAAACCGAGCCTGAAAGATGGCAACCTGATGTTCCGATGGCAATTCCCTGTCCTTCAATAATGTACCGGGCAGCATTCCAGCGCAAAGGGGTGCCATCCTGTGAAATCTCTTGTTGAGAAAGTATGGATGCGCAGCTTAGAACCTCTTTAGTACGGTCTTCGCGATGGACTGGAGCATAGAGCAAAGTCATACTGACCAAGACAAGCAATGCGACAAGCCAAAGAACGAACATGGGTTTTCTGCTGATTGCTACTTCGTCGGAACCCGCCGGTGGATGCAGCAAAAAGCTGCGTTCGGCTGTAGGATCTGAATACTGCCCTGTCACCGTCGACAATGGCTCGAGATAGGTCCTGGGGTCTCTTTCCGCTTCATCATCCAAGGGTGGCTGTTCCTCTTCAACGTGAATGTTTCTCGGGATGGATGGAAAACTCGCAGACTCTTCACTCGCATCATCAGCTTCGTCAGGACCTGCAGGTGGATGCAGCAAAAAGCCACGTTCGGCTGTGGGATCTGAAAATTGCCCTGTCGCCGTCCACGGGTCACTTTCCCTATCCTCGTCATCCCCATCATCCAAGGGTGGCTGTTCCTCTTCAACGTGAATGTTTCTCGGGATGGATGGAAAAATCGCAGACTCTTCACCTGCTTCATCGAGTTGATCAAGTACAGTTGGACCTGTGAGCGATGAAGCCAAAGTGGGATTCTGCCCGGCATCATCAACCATGCTTGGCGGAGCGTTTGCCCATTGAGGATCTTCGTTGCCTAGGTCACGAATAAGGACATTTCTTGGATTGGTCCGTTGCGCTGACTCTTCGCTCAGGCCTCCATCTGCATCACGGAAATTTCGAGCCTCGTCTGCGTCCTCGGATGTGAGATTGTGAACAATCATGAGATCATCCATCATGAGCTCCTCGACAACCTGAATAAGTAGTCAGCCAGCTTCCAACCCAGCCAGTTCTGCAACCTCCACTGATGCAGTTGAAATATTACTAAGTAGAGACGTACTGAATAGATAACTTCTTCACGCACTCGATGCCGTCAAACCTGATACAGTAAAGAACAAGGAGTGCTAGCTGGCACCCGGCAGCCCAGACAAATTGCCTTGATTTTAAGAAACTGGATTTGGAAAAGAACAAGGATAAGATTTCAGAATTTTTGAAGGGAGGACAGTTTATGATTTGACTCAATGATTAGTACTAGTAGTAGTATTTGCTACTAATGAAGGGAGGACAGTTGCTGCCTTACAGGATGATCCTTGCCCAATAATGACAATTCTACCACGAGAGATTCTTCACAGTGCTTCACACTTCAAAAGAGAACGATCGTAGTCACGCATCACATCCAGAACAGAACCAATGTTTCTGTAGGATTTGGGGGTGTCAGCCAGGATGATCCTTGCTCATAGACCTGCTCATCACGTTCATTGGTGCCCGCAAAGATACGGTATCGGTCCCCGGTAGCCCATATACTCATCCGAGCTTCAAAGACGTCTACGGTAGGCAAACGCCATGATATCATAAAATGTAGCATCTATTGTTTTTAGACTATGAACATACTGTGAATGTGCATGGGCACTTTGCGTAGTATTGGTGGAGGTGTTGTGCGGCCGCTTCGCTGGTACGGTACAACTCTTATGTTGACCGTGCCAATGCCAACCGTCTCCCACTACGCCTTCGTCGTGGAACACCGGGGGCAGCATCTTTCGTTCCTCGAATTGCCTTTCGGTTGCTCCTTCGACGACTGACCTTCCGGGGAAGGTTCTCTTGGTTCAAACGAGGGAGGGCGCATTCCTTTGTCATGGTTTCAGGTTCTTCGGTGGCTTCCGTTTCGGATTCGCTGTCGCTCTCGGACTCCTCGTCAGATTCCTCCTCGTCGTCCTCGACTTCTAATTGCAGTTCTTGCTCGGCTTTGGACAGAGGATGGCTGCGGCGATGAACACGACTAGATGCTTCCAGCTGCTCTTCGTTGGAAGGGGCGGGATGGCTGTGACGATGACTGGGACTACAAAGTTCTTCCCCATCGGAGAGCAATTCGGTCGTGGTGGCTGCTTGCGGTTGTGGGTCTTCTAGCACCTCGTCTTCAGCTGGCAGTTCGATGGTTGACATACGTCGGGGTTTCATTGGCATTGCTGCTTCCGGTCCATGCAGCTCTGCTTTTGAAAGGGGGTGGCTACGACGATGACGCCTAGAAGATCTAGAAGCGCTTGACAGTTGCGTCTGTACCGACAGACACACCGACAATTGTGTCTGTATCGACAGCTGCGTCTGTATCGACAGTTGTGTCAGGTGTGTCTGTACCGTCGATCCGCTGGCACGGCGACGGGGCATGGACGGCATAAAGTCGCAGCTGCCCTTGGAACCGTGGAGGTCTTCGCTGTCGTCATCGCTGTATTCCGAGTCAGAGTCGCTGTCGTCGTCACTAGAATCTCCAGAATGGTCTTGCATGTATTGCTGCTCTAGCTGCTGATGTTGTCGTTGCGCTTGGTGTTGCAGAAAGGCGAGTTCCTGAGACAGGTCGAGATTGACCGAAGCATCGTCCTCATCGTCGCTTTCGCTGAGGTCACTCTCGTCTTCCCGGCCGCTGTCTTCCAGACCGTAAAAGTCCCAAGAGGATTCGCTGAAACTCATCCTGCTATGAGAACTGCTCCAGGACGCATCACGTCTCATGAGATGAGTCCTCTGTGTTGTGTTGCTTCCACCCAGTTTGTCGTCTGACGTGTAACCTCCACAACACACGGGAGCAGCCAACTCGCTTTTATCAAGGCTCGCTTCCGAGATATTCCGGTTGTACGCACTCCTAGCAGAGAGATTCCTTTTTGGAGGTGTAGGGAGGAAATCGCCAGGCTCTTCTTCTTCTTCGTCGCCCTCTTCCACAAAGACTGCAATGTTGGTTCCATTGTCGGCTTCTTCAGCATTGTGGTCCTCGGCTAGAGGAAGGGTCTCTCCTTCTTCGTTCCACAAGTAGGAACCATCCATATCCAAGGTCAGATCGGAAACGTAGGATTGGCCAGACGATCTTCGCCTTCCGCGCCGTCTCGCGTGGTCTACATCAGATTGCTTTTGATTCTCTTCCTCGTCAGGTTCTAGTTGCAGGTTGCAAGGAAACGTCTTGTTCTTTCGCAAACCGCGAGAGTTCCTCCTGATCTTGTCCACGCCGCCATTCGAAGCCAACAATTCAATGCTGCTCAGACTGTACTTGCGGCGCGGTCTCACGGGTTGCTTCTCAGACTTTTCTGCTTCATTCGTCACGTAGTAACGAAGGATCGGAGGAGGGTTTGCCGCTTGGCCTGCTTCCATCATGGGCATATTCTTCTTCTTTTTTGCAGTCGACTAGCTGGTAGCTACAGTTGAGTAATGGGATTGCCAGGAATAATACTAGACAGCCAGAGATACAAAGTGTGGGTTAGTATCACTATCATAGAGGGGAGAATGAAGCTCCGTCACGAGAATAGAGCAGTGGCCACCACAAAGGAAGAAAGTCAGGTGCACCTGCTCTTCTCGGATCCTCCTGCCTCTGGTTGACACAGTCAGAACCGTCTACGAGTAAAAAGTGGATTGCTCTAACGCTTTAATTCTTTGAGAGATGGCAGAATCCCGGTTGCTAATCATTACTTAACCATAAATGCTACGTCAGAACATTTCTACGCCACCTCAGCCACTCCAACCACCATCACCGGACAAACTGAGATCTCACAATCTTTGAATTGAACGGTTCTGTACGTGTAATTCAAGGAAAAGATCTTTTGCGAACAGGAAGGGAAGTTCTGACAATTTGATACTTAAAGGGTTACTGGTGTAGCCTTGACTATCAAGTTTCCAGTGAGCCATGTTCCTCGCAAGTGAACAGGTCAGCTGACCAAGATTTATCAAGAAATCTATCAAGAGTGCTTTTGCTGAGCCCTCACATTTCACACCTAAATCATGCCTTCACACACACTGAAGCTCTATCTAGAAGCTCTCCTACTCTGATTCGACTCCAGTGAAGCGTCAATAATTACTGAGAATGATCATAAATTGATGCTTTTGAAAGGATTTAATTGAAGGGGCTCTGAGAAACAGAAAGTGACAATTATGAAGCCTCTTTGCCGATGATCAATCAAAGTACCAGTCAAAAGTTGTAAAACGGGTGGGCAGTACTTAGTGGCCACACCGCCAGCGCCGGGCCTCTTCCAAGCTGGAGCTGGATTTGCAATGGCAATCGACCGAGTGCCGTACGGTACTAGGTACTAGTACCGTGGTGCTGAATGGGGTCACCGGTACTGTATGCAACTGCGTGGTCCACAGTCCACAGTCTAGCCCCCAGTCCAATGCTCCATCACCGAGCCGAGAACACAGAACAGGAGATCTCTAACCTGGTGGCTTCTGCCTGCTGCCTGCTTGCACGACCGGTTTCTCTTACTAGTAGTACATACAACGGCAGCAGCCCAACCTCCGAGCCAATCTGTAGCCAGCAGCTACTAGTAGCCAAAGCCTGGGATGTGCTGGTGAGCATGTCCACCGGTATTTCTCTACTACTAGTAATCGCACAGTATGTGCCAGGCGTTGGCTGAGTGGACTATCTATGGCGTGCTCTGAACCGTGGCTGGGGACCGCGAAAGTACTTGTTACCGGTACTCCCAGCACTTGTACAAGTCTACCGCACGGTTATTTGCCTTCGGTTGCTGGCTACCTACTAGCTAGTAGTTGGAGATGCATTGGGGCTACGGTGGGTGATATGCACCCAACACACCCTGGAGGTTGTCGGCTCCTGCAGTCTTACGCATCAGACGGCCCAGCAATCGTCTTGCTCGTTGCTGTCAAACACAACAGCAATGAAGGAATCTAGCCACAACACAGCAGAAGACAAGTGAAAGTCGAGTGACGACTTCACTCGAGTCGCACATCCTCCAAACACATGTACGGATACATTCGGTAGTTCCCGGTCCAGATGGCTTACTGGTACTCTCCAAACAAGTCTGCTCTGCCGCAAGAAAATCTTGGCTTGGTGAGGCACTGAAGCCGCGGAGACTGCTCGGCTGCCAAAAACTCCCCGCAGCCCTACTAGATCAAAGAAAACTTTCCTCTCATTTTTTGCCCTCCCTCATCATTGACCACACTTGATTCATCATGACTCACCCGAAGGAGGCCATGGCTCACATGGAGCTGCAACAGAACTTGGAAGAACAATCAATGCGCAGAGATGAACGATTCTACGCTGCACCACATGTAACAGTGAAGCCTGCTGCTCTTGATGTCAATGAAGATATCCCTTTGGACCAGTTATCGACGTGCGAACTCAGTACGGCAGAATCGAAAGCTCCCAGTTCATCTCCTGGTCCACAACTGGTTTCTGTTCCAGGGGCTTTTGCAATCCAAGGAATGAATGGTTCTCCAAATCCAATAGATGCCCATCTTGACAACATGGAACAAGGAAACGAGTCCACTTTTGCTGATTCTGATGCATCCTCCAATTCAGCTACCGGTAGTTCAGAACAAACCGATGTAGAAACTTTGGTGGAAGCAGAACTAGTCAAGGAAGAAACCCTGGTGATTGCTGCTCCGTACAGAAAGAAGAAACGATGGATCATCATTGCTATCTTGGTAGCGGCTACACTGGTCACTGTTGCAATTGTGATCACCCTAAACATCAAGGATTCGAAAGAGGATGACGTGATAGTGCCAACTTACACTGAATCAGTACAATATGGCAACACTATTCTCGGAAATGGTGGCCACTTTGGAAATGTTGTCGTCATGTCCAGTTCGGGTTCAACCATTGCAGTTGGTGCAAGGACCCGTGGAACCGTACATGTCTATCAAGCTATAAGGACCAGTTTACCACTAGAGACCATGAACGCCCTCCCTAAAACCAAGGTCTTCTGGAAACAGATTGGAAATGTCTTAGCCATGGGAGGTTCAGTTGGGGCAAGAGGGATCACCTTATCCCCTAATGGCACTCGTTTGGCTATAGGAGATCCAAAATGCAATCTGGGTAACAAAGGAGAGCCCATCGGGCATTTAGACGGAAATGGAACTTTTGCAATAGCAATGGCTAAAGCAGGCTGTGTTGGAGTCTTTGATCTCATTGATGGGAACTGGAGTCAGACAGGCCCTACTCTCAAAGGCTTTGTCGACAACCACAACTTTGGAAGAAGTGTGGACTTTGCCGTAGATGCATCTGGTAAAACAATCTTGGCTGTTGGATCAGACCAGGGTGTCACCATTTTCAAAGAGGAACAAGACGTTGCTGGCAGCATGGTCTGGGAACCTCTGGGATCCATCATTCTTGGTGTGACAAAGGAGAATCAAGATGTGAAATTGTCAGAAAATGGGCAACGACTCATTGTTGGAAGTAAAGTAGCCCCTGGATTTGCACAAGTGTTTGATTTCAATGGACGGGACTGGGAGCAGATTGGCCAGACATTGGAGGGTGATGGTGAGTTGGAGGGCAACCTTGGACGGAGAGTTGCAATGTCTAGGGACGGGTCAATCGTGGCCTTGGCTGGTTGGAAGACCAAGTCGCGTGGCAGCGATCCCCAGACTCCCCAGACAAATGCTGGAGTAGTAAAAGTTTTTGAGTATCACGGTGAACGTGGATTCTGGCAACCAAAGGGCCAAGAAGTCTGGGGTGATGAAAGTCAGGATAAGTTTGGTCATTCCATTGCGCTCACTTCAGATGGATCCAGGCTTATTGTTGGAGCAATTCAACAAAGACTCTTTGGGCATGGCTATGCACGTGTTTTTGACTTTGTCCAAGAGACATCGCGGTGGACCCAAAGAGGGGAGGATCTTGTTGGAGTTGAGAGGAAGGATCAGTTTGGTTATGATGTTGCAACAGCATCAGGTGGCAATGGAATCTTGGTGGCAGTGAGTGCTGCCAAGGGAGTAGTCGATGGAACTGATGGAGGGTATGTCCAAGTATTTAATCTGACTGACATGTAAAAGCACAAAATACACATCTGACAGGCAAAGCAACGCAGCCCAATCCCAAGAAGTGTTTGTTTGAGCTAGCTAGCCACAGTACTAGGTTCAGCATACCACGAAGATTGGTAGTTGCCCTGCCCAAGAGGAACTAGCTATACTAGCTGTCGCCAGAAGGACAAGCTCTTGTGGACATTGCAATTCTCCATTTCACTGCCGTGTCCTTGGGTACCAGTGCAATAGCTGATCCTTGCTGAGCCAGGCTGCGATCCCCAGGAGCATCAAAGCCTCAAGCGTGAAATCGAATTCACCGTGTCACCCCTCACGGTTTCCTCATGACGGTTCAGGCCACGCTTTTTTGACGCTTTGACACGGAAGTCGCAAAAAGTGCCCCCAAGTTTTTAATAAGAGGCTCAGTCTACGAAGAGAGCCGAAATCAATCCAATCACCATCAGTTACCGGTACTCGTACTCTCCAATTCGAAGATAGACCGTGCAGCAACTTCGCGACGTCTCTTGCCAGGCAATGTGCATGGAGATGTGGAGCGTATGGCCCCCCAAGGGAAAAGCAGCGCTTTGCGACTTACACCGTTCCGGGCAGCGGCAGAGTCAATGAAACTCCGGTGTCCGTCTTCAGGCTGTCGCCCACGTTTTGACGAAACTTCCAACTCATCAAAGCAGCTGATGTCGACGTGGCGGAGGCCGTGTTTTGCGGCGAAGGTTCGTTACATCATTCACCAGCCAAATGTTATTTGAGACTGAGTTTATTGCTAGCTATTAATAGCTAGCTAGCATTACGGATGACAAGGCAGATTTGCTAAGCTAACCTGTGCGTGCCATATCATGAGAGACTGGTTGTGGGTGCTGATTGCTGCCAAAATAGTCTCCCCGTGCCGACAAACGACGTGCATAGTGCTTGCTGTCGCAAGATACCGCACGTCGGAGCCACCCGGATATCTATCATATGTGCATCGTGGCATCCTCAGATCTGGATACCGATACAGAAAGCACCGAACCGTTGGCGTGCTGAGTGATTTTCTTGCATCCCAAGCTTCCAACTGTTTTGGATTGTTGTGCACTCCTTCTTTTTGGGCCTGAAAGCAAAACGTGCGTCCGACTTGCTATTCCGCCAACTCATTCCTCAGCATCTGTTGTCTCCGTGGCATCACGTTCGGGCAAGCGAAATACGTTCTGATTGTAGTATCGTGCCGCCATGAATGTGCAACATTTCTTCAAGAGGCGCGCTTCTGCCACTTCTGGTGTTGGAGTCAGGAATATGGTTTCCAGCTTTCCATTACAGCAGTCGATTTGGCATCCCAAGCGGATTGATGTCGCGAAATCTCTGTCCATGGATTTGAAGAGCGAGTGTAACAGGTTGGCAATAGAGGAGGAGTGCATCCAAGTCAACTCTTGGTGCTTGATTGGATAATGCTTGAATAGATGATGGTAGCAAGTACATATAAAGTCCACGCTGAAGTTCTTCCATTCGAATCCTTCCACATCACATATTCGGACCATCCCCTTTTGGATGGAAGGGATGGTGGCATGTATGATTTGGTGCAGATAGTATTGCCCTCCCACCATGATTCTCCAATCCTCTGGCGTCTTCACCTTGGATGGTTGCAAACGACTGTAATCCAAAACGAGGGTGAAGTGCTCCCTCTCTGTTGAATAGTCCATATCCAGTACGAGCCAGGGTTGCTGCTTGGTCATCATCTCTTGCAGCAGATCGATGCCTTCTTCTGCGGTATTTGATATTTTGTATTCTGCTCGAAACTCTTGCATGTTACGAATGCGATCCACCGCGTTGTCGGTGTCTCCGTGGGTAAAGATGGCGTAGTGGGCATACTCAAAGTCTGTCAGCTCTTGCAGGTCCTCGTCTTCTTCGACGGCTTGCTTGATGGCATGTGCCCATTCGATCTCATCGTACGATAGAGCATTCGAATTGTAATCTTGATCCGTCAAACGAGTGGCAATGGACGGTGCTGGTAGAGCAGCATCGACCAAAGGATTGGCCGATCCTTCCTGGGCTTCCGCCATAAGAGCTTGTCTATCTTCTATCTTATCCTTCTCGTTCTGATTTCTTCTGTGATGGTTGCAAGTTGCAAGTTATTGCAAGCCTCCTTCGATGACTGACTCGTCACTCGACTTTCGAACAGAACTGTGACTCGACTCGACTCGAACCTCCAAAATGGTTCTCATTTGCCATTCAAATGAAAAAATGAGGCTATTTTTGCACGTAGATGAATACTTTTCGCTAATTTCTTACATTTATTTTAGAACCAAAATGACCAGTGCGAACAAAGGCTCACTCTTGGCACGTTCAACACCTACTGGCACTGGTACGAACCCAACACCCTGCCGTACCGGTATCCCGGCTCATCCATTCTCGGCGATTGTCGCCCATCAATAGTAACTACTGGTGCATGCACCATCTTTTCCAATTCCCAAAGAGCTTGTTCTGACAGGACACGTATTGCGCAAACATATAGTTCTAAGAGTTACTTGCTGTCAAATCTTTCTCTGTCCCTGGTAAGCGAAAACAATTAAGATTGGTTCTTGGGGATGCGGATACTGTCCATGTCAGTGGCAACCAGGACTGTTCCCGTGTAGCCTCCATCATCTGCAATGATCTGGCGATAGTCATTCTTGTTGAGAAGATTCTGGAATCGGTTGGATCCAACAGGAGGGATTTGGTGAGTGAGAATCAAATCAGCTGTTCCAAGACGTTGTGCCATGGCTCCCACATCTTGTGCGGTGCTTTGACGATTGTAGATGGCCTCTGGCAGACCGGGTTCACCAGGAGCTGATCGGAGTGCTGAGGGATGGATGACGGCATGAACAAGAACGTCAGCACCGTTAGCAAGTAGCTCAACCTGATCAGAGGTAGAGTAGGGGCGGGCAGTGGGATCTCCGCTGTCATTGCTGGCATCACCCGAAATCACCACGCTTCCAGCAGGTGTGTCAACACGATACGCAGCGCTTCCTCCGACGTGATTGGTGCGAATAGCTTTCACTTGAACACCACCTGACGACCAGACAACTTCTGGTTCTTCCGCAGGAGCAAACAAAACGGTGTTGGCCAAGCCAGATGGTCCCTCTGCATTACGGGCTGCGTTTTCTGCTCTTCGTTGGGCAATCTCCCCTGATGCTGTAAAAGGATCATCAATGTGCTCGACAAGCTGTTGGCAGCTCATGGTTCGAGTAACGCCATCGCTGCCAGTGACTTGGGCATCTTGAGAACAAACAATATCAACTGGGCTTCCATTGAAATGCCATAGATTCTGCAAGAAGATGCTCAAGTCGTTGACGTGATCGCTGTGGATGTGGGTGATAAAGATGGCATCAATATCCTTGGTTCCAAAGTTCCACTTCTTGGACAGATTGGTCACTGCGCCACGACCAATGTCAAACATGAGCTTCACACCACTAGTGCAGTCATCGGCCACAGTTCCATACGTGACGAGAGTGGAGGACTGAGCCAAGCCAATGTCGGTGACAGGTCCTCCTAGCACACCAAGTGCAGTGATCTCCATGCAAGAAGAGTCCTGGTTTACTCGTCGGGAGCGACGAATGTGTGAGGTCCCATCTGCTGCTACAGAGGCCGCCAACAAAAGAGAAATAATAGCAGTTGCAAGCTTCATGGTTGTTGATCTTTTACTCTATTTCTTTGATTGATTGTGGAATCTGAAATTGTGAGGAAGAGCTGAGGAAGTTCTTTTCATTTTTCATTTTATTTTTTCTTCTCAATCCTTTCGTCGCCTGTTCCGCTTGGAGCGCGCCGAGCAAAGAGATTAAAAAATCATTCACGACAGTTCTTATGAGTGAAGGAAAGAGGAGAGTTCGTGAAGTTACTTTAAATCTTGGCGTTCGCAGGGTTGGAACTGCCCCGAAGCCATCTGATCATCTGATACGAAAGAAATAATAAAAATAGAAACAGCTTGATGACGTTTATTACGTTATCAATCGAGGAAGAGTCAGTAGAAATGTGGTTAAATCATTGGGGCAATGAGCTTACCGTACCAGTACAGGTGATCGTGACTCCAATTATAGTCCAGACGGATTGAAAATTCGACTGACACATTATTGACACATCGACACCAAAGCTCATTGTTTAGCTCATTACTCATTGTTTTATGTAATAGACTGCATTATGTATAGTATGGATCAATGGGTGTATCAAACCAAACCCCTGCCCATCATAACTGGGACTCAGAAAAAGCAGGAGTGGTGGATCAGTGCAAGAGAGAGCTCTCTCGGGGTTCATCACAATGTTTCAGGAGGGGCGATCACCACCCCTCCTAATTCCAACCCGTCACAACCATCCCTGTACCAGATCTAGCAACTGACACATCACCGCCTCGTCAATAAAAAATGACGCTTGGCTGCACCATTGCCCCGTTCTCGACGGAAGGAAGGTGCCAATTGCGTTGCCAATGCAGGATCGGGCTCGGACGGTGTTTGTTCCGGAAGTAGCGTGCCATGTCGCAACGGCAGTACTACATGTGTATGATGGCAGCATGCCGATCACGTATCCGCTCTAGTAATGCACAGCAGTACGAGTTGCCATCATAATAATATGATCCTGGTTGCTCCATGTACCAGCATACCGGTAGCCACTTGTCTCGTTAGGGATACAAGTGGAGGCAGCAGCCAAACTTCATGGCAAGATCTCAAAAGTCGTTCCTTTATCGTCGGTTTGCTATCAAACAAACCGTCACGCTTCCTGTTGTAGCTTCTATTCTACCCGTATCTAGTGTGCTTATCATGGTCCCATCCATGCGCAGGAGAGCAGACCGAGATTCCCATGCCCACTGCAGCCGCTCATTTCATTAGTTAGTGATGTTCACATCGTGCATGCAATCTCCATTAGGATTCTGCGCATTCCCCATTGCTGCAGCAGAATTTGCAACATGTACAAGACAGCTCGTCGCAGTTGGCGTAGGCATTGGTCCCAATGACGGAGAAAGCTCTACATATTTCCCTTGGCATGTCACCAGAAAACAAATTGTCCTGCACTTGAAACTCCTCGATTTGCGACCATGCTCGCAAATCGCTTGGTATCTGACCGCTCAACTTATTTGAATCCACCCGAAATACTTTGATCTCCGTCAATTGGGCAAGCTCGGTTGGAAGGGTTCCTTCCAAGGCGTTTGCTTGCAGCTGCAGGCCCGTTTCAATATTGGTCAGCAACCCCAAGTAGGTGGTCAGAGTTCCAACAATCATATTGTTATTCAGGAATAGTCCGGTCAGGCTGGTCAGCAGCCCACCTGGTTCGTTGAATAAACCACTCTCCAGACCACCCTCTAGCATATTGTATCCCAGTCGGAGCTCTTTCAGTTGCCCAAGTGTTCCTGTCGTCACAGGGATTGTTCCCGAAATTTGGTTATTGCTCAGGTCAAGCGTCACCAGTGATGACATGTCACCGACTTGGTTTGGAAGTGTCGACGAGATAGCCTGATTCGCAACCTGAAATGATTCTAACAACTTGAGGTTGCCAATTTCCGAGGGAACAGGCCCCGATAGCATTCCCGCGTTGACGGATTCGGCGCCGTTCGATTGTTTGAGTACGACTCCAACCCGGCTTTCCATTTGTGCCTTGTGGAGTTGCACTGCTCGTCGTGCCGTCGCAGATTGTTCCGCATCCCCAGTACCAATGACAAACTGGGTCAACGACGTCAGGAGTCCAATCTCTGGTGGTATAGAACCGACCAAGGTAGGCGCCGGAGGAAGAAATTCCAATGCCACAATCTCCAAGTTGCTATCACATACAATATAACTCCAGGTACAGTCGTCCGAATCCACATTCAACCAAGAGTTGGTACTACTGGTGGCTTGTCGTTGTTGCGGTGCGTCCCATGCAGCATCGCCTCCAGTACTGTAAAATAGAGTCGCTAAACCATAGCGCTGGAGCTGCTTTGCTTGTGGCAGCCCTGCTGCTAAGGTATCTTCGTTTAGCAACCACTGCGACGCAAGATTCTGAGGAGTGCCAGGGGTATCCATCGCTGCGCCGCCGTCCGAGGAAGCCCCTCTCAAAGTGTCCAACACCGGAGAGGAGGCAGTCGGCAACTCTGTCGTGGCGGCGGTGGTGTCACTGGTCGTAGGAGAGTTTGTGGAGGCGGCGACAGAGGGTTGAAGCGTTTGGTCATTGGCAACTGTTGGAGTTCCGACATCCAACGCTGCTGTGGGTACGAGTGTATCGTTGGTAGCCAGCGTTGGTGCAAGAGTCTCTGTGCCTGATGGTTCCGGCGTTCCAGCGGTGGGTTGTGGCATCTGTGTATTCTCCGATGTCAGGGTTGGTTGCATTGTCCCTTCTGCATCATTATTATTGACACTTGGCTGACCTGTTTCTGCCGCCGTTGGGCCCGGGGTAGTGGACGCTCCAGCATCGGATGTCGTCGTCGTTGGCTCGGGAGTGGATTCCTCACTATTGGAAATTGTAGGTGTGAAATTGTCGGCCGCCGTGGTCGGCCCGACTGTTGGTGGGTCTGTTTCCCTCGGAGGCAGTCCACGTTTCGTCGGAGCCAACGAGACGGGTGCAGACTCTGCCGTTGGAAAGGATGTCGGTTGATTGGTTTCTCTCGGTGGAAGTCCGCGTTTTGTCGGAACCAGTGTCGTGGGGGCAGCATCGGTGGTCGGTGTCAACAGCGTTGTGGGTACTGCGGTTGGTTGGCTGGTTTCTTTGGGTGGAAGTCCCCGTTTGGTGGGCGCCAGTGTGCTGACTGTGCTGGATGGTGACGGTGTCACAGGCACTTCCACGACATCAGGTTCCCACGGCAGCTTGATAGGTTGTTCTACTACTACTACGGGAGCTGGACTGGGTGGCAAGGTCACGGGCGCCAGAATGGGTACCGGTGATACCACGGGTGCATTCGTCATACTAATATCACTCTCACCGCCTTGGCTTTTGCCCCAAAAGTACCCACCCACCACGCCCACCGCCAAAAAGATGACCGCGCTCCAACAACAGGCAAAGAAGATTCCTCCCCAAAATGGTCGATCGTCTCGTTGTTGTTGATCCAACCGTTTGCTATGTTCTCTTTCCAGTTCTCGGCGTGCCGATTTTCGAGCCGTTTCCACGTCGTTGTCATCCTCAAATGTATCCTCGTCGGAATGGTCGTCGGAGTGAAAAGAATTGCCATACACATCGGCACGTCTCCTTCCTGTTTGCAACGGTACTGTTTCGTCTGGTGGGTGGAGCGAAGATATATCTTCCGCATCATGGTAAAATGAATGAACACTCGGACCAGCGGGAGCGGTATGTGTCGTGGTGGGTATTTCCGAGGAAGACTCTTCCGTCTCATCGTCATCATCATCATAATAATCATAATGAAGTGGTTGTGGTGCTTCTCGTTGCTGTTGTTGTGACTGTTGTGACTGTGCGACACTACTACTTCTCCGTCGATTATAGTTTGGAAACAATTTCAAATCTTCTCGCAAGGTTTCGGCCATTTGTGCATCGGGCAATCGGAACATGTAGTTCTCATCGTCGGTGGTTTTGACGCGCAACATGGGAATATGAAAGTTGGGGGGCGAAACTTGACGTTTGGCAATTTGATCCCATGGAATGGAGAGTTTGGTTTCTTCCCATTGGAAAAAGAGCAACCCATGATCTGCCAGGACGAGTTGTCCCACGGTTTGTTGGTAGGACACATTGGGATATTCCAATCGGTCGTCGTCGTCGTCATGTTCCATGGGCGATGCTTGTGAATTGTCGTCTTCTTCTTCCTGCTGTGAGGATGCCACGGAGCGAGGAGGTTCTTCTCGTTCTTCATAGTCATCTTCCGTGGTAAAGACGGCAGAATCGCGAGTTCCAGTTTGCTGATGTTGCTGTTGTTGGTTGAGTGTGTTTTGTATGGTTTCTATCATTTGATTGGCGTCTTCCTCGTTCTCCGTCTCGGAGTGATCTTCCATCCTCATTTCCTTACTGGCATTGTCCGCTTGGAGAGCTTGGTTGTACGACTCCAGCTCGTCGTCATCGCCATTGTTGTCCTCTGATTGTTGTTGTGGTGGTTCTTTGGCATCAAGAAGTCTGTCGTGGTCTTCATCATCGTGATGGAATGCAACATTGAGTTCATCATGGTCTTCCCCATCATCATCGTCGTCGAATCCGTCATTGTCTTGACTGTGTTCGTCTTGAAGGTCCTGGTGTCCGTCTTGGACAATGTATTCTTCTTCATCTTCTAGTTCATTACTCAATTCTTCCAGTTCCTCTGTGGTAGTACTACTGGAACTACTGATGAATACAACTTCTTCATCGGCAGGTTCAAAAAAGGAATCATCGTACGTATTGTTCACGTTGAGATGGACTCGTTGGACTTGGTCGTCGTCAGCAGCAGAAGTGGAAGCATTGACAACATTGTCAAAGCTGTAGGAACCTGTGGTCAGAGATCGATTGCTGTGGCGTAGAGTCTTGATGGAGTTGTTATTTTGAAGTTCGTCGTCAGGAGACGACGACAATCCCGCGGATTGTTCCAGCGCTGGAGCAGAAGAACTGGAAGACGATGTCATACTAGTACGTGCCACCATGGTCTCGTCTTGCATGAGATTGCGACTGCTGGAGCTTGTTGGTGGCGGGGGGAACTCATCACGTCCATTAGTGGCAGATGCCGATGGCAGCAGTGGATCGTTCATGGTCTACCGTATCGTAATGTATCCACGAAAGGACAAAATGCAACACAGAAAATGACAAGAAAGAAGTGCCACCGAATTATTATGAAGGCATCAAAGAGAGAACTGCCAGTGCGAACAAGGATCCCTCTTTCCTCTCTTCACGATTTCAGTTGGAGTGAGTCCCACTATACCGTGTCCTTTTTTGACAAGTTGCAAACACACAACAATCGATATCTTAGGAACCCTTTCTAAAGACAGCCTCCCTCGCATCCAGCAACAGAGCTTGGCACGGCAACAACAACCAGAAGAAATGAAACATTCGAAAAATTCGCGGCCAAATTTAGAGAAAGCGTGATGCGTCGTGGCAAGTCATTGATCGCGTCAAATACAAACACATTTACCTCACTCTCTAGAATCTAAATGTATCTACGGTACATGTGCGGTGCATTGCTTTGTCTCCGTACGGTAGCAAACAGCAAGTACCGTATCAAAACAGAAAGTTCAAACTCAAGCTTGACATTGTTTCAGTGGAAGCTACCTTTTATTGAAAAAGGCTGCGGAACTGTTACATGTATTTGGCATTCATTCAACGCTACCACTACTGGTACCAGCTATCATAGATACCGATACCGCAAACTCTGGGAAGAGTGGCTGCTGTTTCCAAACACTTCTTGCTTCCTCGTTGCCTGTAACGCTAGTATCTATGAAACATCTTCTGTACCCGTACCGGTATCCCACGCACAATCCTTTTGGTTTCACAAAGCCATCACATACCGTACTAAAAGGTATTAGCTAGCTAGTGCTTCAGAGGTATTAGCTAGCTAGTGCTTCAACAAGTCTGAGCCAGCCTGTGGATGGAAGCAACTTACTTGCAGTGGCCCAAAATGGACCAAGGAGCCAGCACTCTGGGTAAAAAGACAGGTTTCTAAACAATGAGTATCGAGAAGGATCACTATCAAATCCTCTAAATCGGTGCCGCGTGGTCTTTACTTCATTGACCGTCAGGGTCCTCTCCAATCATTGTTTGGGCACGGCTCGCCAAAGACTCTTCTCATTGACCTCATCCTCTGAATCGGCACGGAGGGGTCGTCCCCATAGTAGGTTCCTTCCAGGAGGAGAAAAAAAAGAGGGGGGGAGGACTTAGCATCCCAGGTCTCGATATTCTCCATGGCTATATATAATCGCGTCCAATCCTCTATCTAATAGTCCCCGTATTATCTCTCTTTTCGCTTTCTATTGACAGGCTAAAAGACTTAAACTGTACTTATATTTCAATACCGTGCGGACCCAATAGGTCAACATGAATAATTCGATACAAGATCCAACCCTTTTTTCAGTCACGAAAACGCAGACCGAACATGTGTTGATGTCCCAACACATTGTTTGTTAAGGTTCACGCTATCCTCAATTTGTGGTGTTACTTCAGCTCTGCACGCACAAAAATGCCGACAATGACAACCGCGTCCACGCTGCTTTTTCCTTTACCGTAACCATGGCCGCTGTCCCCAAGCAGCTAAGCAGTGCTCAATGGAAGTTTGTGAAGAAGATAAGAGGGCAGGTAGACAAGGATCCAGTGGCGTTCTTTTCGAGTGGAACCAACTGGAGAGAGATTCAACCAAAAAGTGGTCGCCATGATAGCAACCTTCTGAACAAAGGAAAAAAGACCAAAGTCGATGCCTTTTATCTGAAGACAATGGCCGTTTGGGTACCACACAGGCTTTTCAAGAACCACACTCCCACATGTCCACATTGCAAGAAGAAAGACCATGTTGAAGTCACAAAAGCCCGCTGGATAAATTGCCCCAAAGTGCTCTTTGGAATTCACCGCCACCGTTATCTTGACACGATGCTTTATCCATGCAGCAGATGCAGGCGCCGATTCGCAGGATACAATGCCTACTCAATGAAGTTGGATGCATCGGTGTACCATTCCTTCTTTAATTTTTTTCTGGGCACTGGATACGCAGTTGATGATGAGCTCTACCGATTTGTCGTGGAGGCATCATCCACCGAGGCGACAGCTACGATCGCGTCAAGGTTGGCGACAATGGCCCAGGACGCGTATTTAGCAGACCATGCCCTTTACTTGCAAGCAGTTGGGCGAAAGCAGATTGATTTGCGCCCTCACAAAAAAGCGAAACTTATGGATGACTACATGGTTGAAGCTCATCCTGATATTGAATTGCAAGAATATCGTGACCACAAGGGCTCTAAGGAAAGACTGTTGCGACAGGCGCAGATGAAGCACAATGCGGCAAAGCAGAAATGGGAAGGGGATATTTCCTTTTCTAGAATATTGCCATCCAAGAACAATCACAATGTGTTTGGGGCACGCAACGTATTCCCTGGGCTTGGAGCAACAAAGATTAAGAAGTTTCAACAAGCTGGAATTACTACTCTGAAACAGCTTCGAGACTGTCTTTTAGAAGACTATTCTGCAGAGCTACGCCGCATTTTACCAAGGTGGAAACAGAAAGCATTTGATTACTATGAGACATACCGTCTACAGGTTGAAGCGGCTGAAACTGACCTGCAGTTTGCCGAAGACGAATACGAATCCGCATGCACCAGTCTCACTGAATATGAACAGTCGCTGCAGCAGGTAGAGCCTCCACGAAGGTTGCATAACCCGTATTCCAGAAATGCCAGAACTCAAGAACCAAGAGAAGAAGAACCCGAAGCCACACCGCCACCCCCATTGTTCTCCTCTTACAAAGACAAGGGCGGATATAATGGGAAACATCTTAGCAAGCACCGAATTGACTGTGTTGTTGCCACTGTATTCAAAAGCCGGAAATTGGTCCAGGAGTCCAAGATGAAGGGGCTTTGCGCTGATATCCTGAAAATTGACTTCAACTATAAGCTGGCCAAGAAGATCAGAGTGTGGACTGGTCAAGGCCAAAGCTTCTGCCCATATAAGTGCCTGGTAACCATTCAAAATGAGGATGGCATGACTGTTTTTTGGAAAGCGCTGAAGTACTCTGAGTCCTTTGCTGAGATTGAAGCTGACTTGGTCCGACTTCGTGATCGCCTGAATAGAAATCTTCACGCAAAGAAAAGGGAACCAATGGGACCAATGGAGAATGCGGTCAAGGTGGTTTATGTGGATAATTGTTGCCAGGTTCACAAAGTTGTCAAGCGATGCTTCCCCAATGCTCATGTCGCTCTGGACCCGTTCCATTGGTTGAAGAGATGGAATGAGATACTGAATGACTGCAACAGTGCTCAAGGGGGAATCTTCAGAATGCTGATGTCAAGGGCGATCTTCATTATTGAACCTTCTGAATATGACAGAGCCAAAGAACTCCTTCAAGAAAAGCTTCGCCGTGAACCAACAAACAAGGAGATTCTCAAAGAGGCCAATGCTGTAATTCCTCCTTCCAACATCCTCCGTAGTAATGTGGAAGCAGTGCTTGAATACATGTTGGCGAAGGATGCGCAGGTAGAACGGCAACTATCAACAATGAGAGATGACGACACTTCGCCTCGCCCCAAGAAAATCTTCAAGAACAGCACCAAAAACAGAGATGTCATTAAGCAGCAAATGACCTACATCGACAAGGGATGTCTTAGCGATCCGACCCATGTCAACTTGTTCCGGTTAAACCCAAAGACTGGTGTGGTCTACGTCGCGCGAGGAACAAATACCAATGAGCGAGACAATCTTGACCTTGCTCATTCGGTACTTAGGGCAACTATCATTGGTAAGAATGCGTCTTCTTTCTGGGTAATTGCTTTGGCTTATATCTAACCATTATCTCTATTTTACAGGGATCCACAAAGCCGAAAGGCTTATGTATTATTTCTTTGAAAAGAAGAACCACTCAAAATCGATTGCTAGACTGGGCATGGTAGATCACGGAACAGTGGAAACAGAGAAGCTTCTGCTATTGAATGGCCTAGCGAAAGCTGTAGGGTATACCGATGACCGACTCCCTTATCAGAACGTCGCAGTTCCCACTCTTGAAGGGGAATTCCAGACAAAGGAGTACCTTGGATTCGATTATGCACTGCCGGACAGCATGGAACTGGTTGTTAACCCCGCGGTTGAAGAAACCAATCTTGATGGCCAGGTTGTGGAAGATGAGGTTGTGGACGAGAACTTAGGGGATGACGACATCGCGCAAAATTCACAGGAGGACGACGTAGAAGTGACACTTACGGAGGAAGACTTGGCGATCGCTGCAGCAAATGGAGGAAACAACACCAACAATCCTAATGAACGTATGTTAGATGTCGCTGACAGGGCAACCACAGTGGATGAAAGGAACAGAGACATGATCCAGTCAGAAGTGGACAAGATTTTACCACTGACGAACAGTCGCGAATCCTCCCTTGAAGCTTTCAAACGAATGACACAACAGCATGCCTGGCTACCATTTCGCATGCCGGATGCTACCAATGCTGCTTCTATTATTGACCGAGAAGAAGCAAGCTACTTTGAAGATACCCACGGCAACTACAATGCCAGCGTTCGAACTGGTCCTCGAAGCTACCGCGCTTTTGAACAAGATTGGAACAATGAGGTAGCTCGACGCTTCAAGCTTTGGACCGAAGGGGATGATAATACTATTTTACTCAACAGGAAGAGTCGCGTTTTCCTCTTGGATTACTACAACAGGCGCCGCGAACTTGAAAGCATTCAGTTCATCACACCTGTTGCCAATGACACCGACCGTGAGCGTCTACAAAACACACTACACACAAACCGACAACGGGTTCCTGCGACACAACATCCAGTAAGAACAAGACCAACAGAATATCCCGACTTGGGCGGTGGCACTGCACTCGGCAATCCGGCAACTCTTAATGCCGGCATTGTTGCCGGTGCAATTACTGAAGCCAACAACAATGGCTTCCAAGTCGCTCCTCCACCAGAAGAGCCAGCTGCTCCAATGCCACCACCTGTGAGGTATGTATTCAGAAGCAGAATGTTTTGTGAGCGGTGTGGCTTCAAAAGGAGCAACCATGTAGTCCAAGATGAGGGAGTTGCAAGAAGCTGCAGCAGAAGCTATTGTGGAAAGTGCAGGGAAACCAAAGCACACCATGTCAATGACAATGATGGAAAGCTGCTCTTTGGCCAGTACTGCACCAAGCCAACTCATCCATGGCAGATTGCAGAGGTGGCGAAATGGTGGGACAAAAAGGTAAGTTTCACTATTACTGTTACTGTTTGACTACTGTGTGACTACTTGGATAACAAACACCAACAAAGAACATTCTTTTCATTCTCATGTCTCAATCTTCAGAACTAGTGATGGAGTCAGGTCCATCCATGTTGGAAGGGTAAGGAACAATTCCTCTTGTCTGAACATAAGTAATGATGTCACTAACAAAATCCTCACTCATCAGTGTCATTACCCTGAAGGAGACTTTGACAATTGGGTAGGTCCTGTCAAACCAGTCAGACCAGTAAGTCAACACTGCATCATGGCGAAGGGATTCATACTCATAAGTCTCATGAGCCTTCTCTCTAACTCTCCAGTAAATGCATTGCTTATACATCTTCTCCTTGCTTGTAGGTTTGTCCTCTTCAAACATGGTGGCTACCATGTCAAGAACAATACTGTACCACTCAATGTTATGGAAGTATCCCCAAGATTCCAAGCTGTCAAGGATGCAACTCATATCAGGAGTCATGGGCTTGGCATTTCCACTCATGATGAGTTGTTCCAGGCTGGGAGGGTCAAAGCTACTCACTGCCACACATTTCAATGACCTGAAACTGGGATGCTGGACCTCTCCTGCTTCCAGCAAAACATACCTGCACTCAAAGCTGTACCTGGTGGCCCTTAACTCATTGTAGGGATAGAAACTCTTATCTAGTAGCCACTTTGAAAAGACTTGACTAGTGTTGATCCTCATAGTTTTGTAGTTGTAGTGATAGCTTCAACTGTTGGCTCCCACAATTCAATGACTCGATCCTCTACGGAGACGACGTCTTCGAAAATGTGAGGACGTTCAAAAGAGGTGCGTACCTCTTCGGTGGAATTAAGCGAGTGCCCTTGAGATGAGTGATTCTTGCAACGCATAAGTACGAAAATTTGAATTACTATCTCGACTTGTACTGAGATGGTGTTACTTAGGTGGATTGATGTCCAACGATGTCATATAGAAATTTCTGTACTAGTCTACTAAGACCTAACTCAAATCTCCCCGGAGTGACAGTCGAGTCATTTGAAGTCACTGGGCAACGCAAGAGGCGAAATCTGTTGGTCGCGGCGTCACTGCAGGTGGTGGCATTCATTGTCAACAGCACCTGTATTAGTTCCCTTTTCTCCATAAACCAACCAACAAATCATCGCCATGTCATCCGCCCATTCTCACCTTCCAAATAGCCAAGAAGAAGCCGCCTTGGATAGTGATCTCTCCTTGAATCAGCTTGTCCTTGAGCGAAGCCAAACTGCCACCAAGACTGCGGAAGACATCAAGCAGGAAGAACTGCTCAGACGAGCAGCAGAAAAAAGGAACAATAACAGCAATATTGGTGCTGTTCCGGCACATGCAGTTGCCAGACGACCAGTTGCCAATACAAGGAAGAAAGCACCAGCTACTGTTACCAATAAAGCAGTCGGTACGAATGCTTCTGAGGCTGACGATCAAAGGAAGAAAGACGAGCTTGCCCTGCTGAGAGTTGTAGCTGAGCGATCTGCCGCTGCCAGCAGAGAACAGGCAGAATTGGCAGAAGGTGCTAGCAAGAGCAACAATACAGTGGTGGTTGGAGCACAAGCTTTCAATCCCGGTGATTATGTTTCTGAAAAAGGGGATACCGTCAATCTCATGACCATTGTCGCGCAAAGAAGTGTGGATGATGATGCTACACCCAGCATGGCACCAACAGAAAATAATATGGCTCCTCCTGATGCTGGTGGTGATGCTGTTACACCTAGTCCTGCATCAAATCCAGCAGCAGGCATTGAATATGACCACCAAACTGGGCGTCCAATGACCAAGCACAGCCTACCACCTGGCTCTGTTACTCCCGGTGCTTATTCAGGATCACCAGGTGCTAACTATCAAGCCGTGGAACCAGTGAGATTGGATGTGCTGGGAGCATCTTCTCCGCCAAGGCAGGAGGTTCCAGGACAAATAGAAGAGGCAGAACTCAATACTACTGAGACTTTGGAGGAGAAGAAAAGAAATCCAGTGGTGATGGGGGCAGCAATTGCTGTACTGGTGGTAGTTATCATTCTGGCCATTGCCATTCCACTTGCTGTTGGAGGGGAAAATGGAGAATTCCCCAAAATGGAGAACAACCAAGAAACCAGTATTGATAAGGTGCTGCTTCCCAATGCCCCAAGTTCCACGTGGGAATCCATTGTCGATGATCAAGAATCACCCCAATTTAAAGCCTACACCTGGCTGACTCTTGATCCCAACCTACAGACGTATGAAAACTGGCAAAAAGAGCAGAGATTTGCTTTGGCCACCTTCTACTATGCCTTCAATGGTATGAAATGGAACATTCTTCAAACACAAAGAAAATGGCTTGACTATGAAATCAATGAATGTGATTGGGGCGTCTATTCAGGTTCGCTGTACATGTACAATCATCTGAGTTGTAACAATAATGGTAGGGCAACCAGGATCTCAGGGAAAAAACAAAGTAACTTCCAGGGAGCAATACCGCCGGAGCTATCCTTATTGGAAACCTTGAAAGAGCTGAATTTTAGGGACTCACAATTGTCTGGAATGATTCCATCGGAGGTTGGTTTGCTCTTATCATTGACTGCCATTGACTTGGGCTTCAACCAACTGGTCGGAGAGGTCCCATCTGAGGTGGGGCAGTTAACGGCATTGACTTCCTTGAACTTGGGTGTCAACCAATTGGTAGGAGAGATCCCATCTGAGGTGGGGCAGTTAAGGGCATTGACTTCCTTGAACTTGGGCGTCAACCAATTGGTAGGAGAGGTCCCATCTGAGGTGGGGCAGTTAACGGCATTGACTTCCTTGAACTTGGGCGACAGCAACTTGGTAGGAGAGGTCCCATCTGAGGTGGGGCAGTTGACAGCATTGCGATCTCTGGATCTCCAAAAACAACAACTTTCAGGCAGCCTTCCTACGGAAATTGGCATGCTATCCAGTGTGAAGACAATGCAGCTGCGTGGCAACCAACTTTCTGGCACCCTCCCATCCGAGCTGGGGTTGCTGACAGTGTTGCTTTCTCTGGATCTCTTTGGAAACCAACTCTCAGGCGTCATTCCTTCCGAGATTGGCTTGTTGTCTGCATTGACTCTTTTGAACCTTGCCTCCAACAAATTTCAGGCAAACTTTCCTACAGAACTTGGCTTGTTGACAGATTCTGCTGATTTGTGGGCGGATTTGTTCTTGCAAGAAGGCACCATCCCAACTGAGATAGGAGTGATGACAGGAAGAACGTCTCTTCACTGGCTGTTCCCTTCAGTGTCAGGTGGCAGTATACCATCTGAGATTGGTTTGATGACTTCATTGACTGCCATTGAATTTCGTCGCAAGGACTTATCTGGCAGCCTCCCATCCGAAATGGGGTTGCTGACAAGTGTGACCAAATTGCGGTTGGATGGCAATGGGTTTTCTGGCAGCATTCCTACAGAACTGGGTTTACTGACAAATGTGACTTCCTTGGGTTTGTACGACAACCAACTATCTGGCAACCTCCCATCAGAGCTGGGTTTACTGACAAGATTGACTTCCTTGGGTTTGTACGACAACCAACTATCTGGCAGCCTCCCATCAGAGCTGGGGTTGCTGACTAGTTTGGCCTCCTTAGCTTTGTACAGCAACCAATTATTATCAGGCACAATTCCATCGGAGCTGGGATTGCTGACAAGGCTGACATTCGTGGGTTTGTATAACAACCAGTTCTCTGGAAGTTTCCCGAGCAGCTTGTGTTCCAACGTGGGTTTAGGAGTTTACCTTGACTGCGACCCAGATCCGTTTCCTGTGGAGTGTTCATGTTTTGCTAAATGTGGCTGTTCGTAGTCTTTACAATCACATACATACATAATTCAAGTGGTGACACTCTTTACATACCATATAGACAGAACCAACACTGGTTCCTGGTGGTTGGCCAGCTAGCTACCAGAAGTGGTACAGTGGCGCCGTCCACTCTGGAAACCGGTGCCTCGAGCTCGGGGTCTGGTGTTTCCATTTACCGTCAGCGTCCTCTCCCATCATTTTTTTGACACCTGGCGTCGGATCCTCGGTTCCCACAAAGATCCGACTGACACCAAAAAAATTCAAAGCTGGAGCCCATTGACAACAGCATCATCAAGATGACGAAGGTTCCAATGGCGGTGGCGTTGACCTCTAGTTGCCTTCTTCTGAACCCCGCACTTGCTTTTGTGCCACAATTCCCTCAAAATGTAATTACAGGTACTATTAGTACCAGACGCCCAGGACTTGTTCTCAACAGCAGTGACAGCAGTGACAATTTTGATTTTGACTTTTACATGAGTAAATTCAACCTGGACCTGGACTTTGATTCACGGGAAGCCCCGAAAAGAGCCGCAGAAGTGTATGCAGCAGCCCGAAAAGGATTGGGCATGGAAGACAAGCACTTTTTGGAATCTTCTTTCTTCTCTGTCACACCACTGATGGCTGCCGTGGCCTCCTTCTTTTTGTATCCGACACAATCGGTTTGGTTTCACAAGGCTGTTACGTACTTTAACAAGTTTGAACCTGTCGATGGAGGAAACTTGCAGTGGTCCATTCTCTTGCCTGCACTCAATGGAGTTGTCATGACTGCAATCTCATTGTTGTACGCCAATTTGATCTCGACGACCGGAACTCAGTTAAGGAATCGACAAATCACAGTTCATCAATCCCTCAGCACGGAAGTGGAAGGCATTTGGGGTCTCATTCAACTGCTTCAGTATTATCCAATTCAATCACAACCTTCCTTTGGACAGCATCTCAATCAATATACGCTCACATTGATTGACGAATCCTACAACACAAATCCCCAAGACTTGAGGACCAATTGCCAATCACTCAATGATTTTCGCAATCAATTGCACTATTTGAGTACGCGACCTGCCGCCGCCGACGACATTCTACACGATACCATTCGAGAACGATCGTATGAAACACTGCAGAGCATATTGGTAGCCCGAACCACGCGCATCACCAGCTTGCAAACCAGATTCCCCGCGCTTCACTACGTTACGATTACTGCGTTGACCTTTGCCATTCTGGGCATTTTTCTGCTCGAGACGGATCGAAGCGTCATACTCTACCTCGACAAGTTTCAGTTGCAATCCGTCTGGGCATTGTTAGTGGGTACAGTCACGGCCATTTACTGCATTGGAGTGGACTTGGCGTATCCCTTTATTGGAACGTACACGGTACCAGCGGATCAGTTGTTGGAAAATGACGACTTGTTGAAATTGATTGATAATGCCGCCAAAGCCAAAGGGGACTTGACCAACCAGAAATTTCCACTTTTGGAAGTTTGTGATATCCATGACAAACCAGAAGAAGAAGAAGAGGAGAAGCACGACGACAATTTTGCCTTGTACAACGAATACATGCAGAGCCGAAATCCGTCCTTGTACGATGAATACATCAAACGGGCTCAATAGAACACTCATGAGGCGATGGAAGTACAATGGCACGAACAAGTGATCTCTGGTATTGTGCAAGCAAAAATGGCCGCGAATCAGCACCAACGTAAGCGCTGAGACAGAAAGCAGCAGCGCTTACAGAGGCTGGTTATTGTACGGTAGGCATGTTTCCACTTGCTGCATTGAAGATACCGCACAACTCCTTGAAACTGAAGGTCGACAACGTGGCAGCAACGAGACGGATAGGCCATGTCGAAACAAGCGACTTTGCCATGTCATGCCATGCTCAACGCGACAAAGATGAGATCTGATGCAAAGTGAAGTCGTGTTTATAGTTCACTTGTTTACAAACCATTTTACCTGAACCTTCTATCTTACCGATCTCCCTTCCTTGACACTTCTTTCTCTAGTTAGCTAGTTAGTTGACGGCCTCAGCTGGGAGAGACTTGCCAGTTGCAAACTCGTAGGAGCGACCCACAATGAACTTGACAGTCTCGAGCTCGTTTTCGTCTCGGGGAGAATACACCAGGAGAAATCCTGGAGTTAGCCGTCCTTGTGTGACCAAGTAATGATCCTCGCCCCATCCTGCAGCCTTGACATCTGCCGCATCCTTGGCGTCCATAACAACATGAAGACTTCCAAGGTCGGGAGCGGGATGAATGTGAGCAAACTCCCGATTGATCATGAACGCTTTTTGGTTGCACTGTTTGCAATCCTTGTGGAGGACAAGCGCCCGAGCACCCGGCACCGAAATCCCGCTGGGTTCATTGACGACATGGGGCAAGGCAGCAAAGCACCACTCGTGAAGCTTCTGAATGACATTGGGAGGACCGTGCTGGTTCAACTGAGAATGGGGAAGACAACTGGTCGTCTCTGGCTTAGAGCCACTGCGCAAAGTGAGGATGAGCTTGCTCGTTTTCATGCTGAGATGTTGCTGTTGTTGATACTACTGTGAGCACAACGTCATTTGGATGTATGTTCCCTCTTCTTTGCATCAGCCTGCCCCCCCACCGGCTTCCGTGGATAACGACTTCACTACATGTATCTAAAGGAAACCCCTTCTACTTTGGATCTTTGTTTCCTTTTGAGGGACGTCCTGACAGGCGGCAAACTGGCACCAAAGTGGTGGAGATGTGGATCTCACAGGGGAGATTTCGCAGAAGCTTCTGGAACATTCTTCGAAATAAGTGAAGGTTTCCATAAGCCAGCTGAACAGGCATCAGGTTGCCGTGTCCTGCCAAGGAAGATGAGCCTCGAGACAGCATCAAACATCAATGGCCACAAGTTCATCCCACCGGTATCTTTCATTGACCTACCGTATCCAATATCACGCCCACGCCAACACACAACCACCCCACGAACAACACCTTTAGTATATAGCAACCAATATAATGGCAGGACTTCGAAGACTGGACGCCTTTCAAAAAGTGCGACGAGATGCCCAATCGAAATCGGCCTTGGGTGGGATCATTACGCTGGTAGCCATTTCGGCAGCCAGCATTTTGTTTCTCTCGGAAGTCTACATTTATTTACGAGGCGTCACCCGGCATTCGTTGCACTTGTCGGAATCGACCCATGTTCCCTTGACGCGTCAATCCGCCAAAATGCCGGGCAAAATTCGCCTTCAATTCAAAATTACCTTTCCTCATTTGACTTGCCGTAAATTGGATTTTGCACTCGACGACGCCAGTCATGGTGCGGGGACGCTGGAAAAAGCATACGGACGACAATCGCTCACATTGCGGACACCGACTTTGAGTGAACTGAAATTGGCAATGGAGACGGGAGCCACACCGGCAGCCACACGACATGGTTGTACCATCCAAGGCGATCTCAAAATACCCTTGGTGGCGGGAGAATTTGCCATTTCCATTACACGACGAACGTGGGCTGAAGCCACTTCCACACTGCTATTGGGTCTATTGGACGACCGGCAACTTCCGGATGCATCCTTGCCGCAAAAGTCGGAATTCAACGTCAGTCATTACATTCACTATATCCGATTTGGAACACCGTTCCCAAAAGCCAAGGATGCACCACTGGAAGGACGATTGCATAGGATTCAAAACAAAATGGGCGGCATTGCTCTGCAACAGATTCATGTCAAACTGATACCCACCATTTATCAGCGATTTCTGATTGCCAAAAACACCTATCAACTTTCGGTGGTGGATCAGACCGTACAACCCGAAACATTGGTGGCCAAGGGGGTTCCTCTGTTGCCGGGCATTGCCGTCAGTTACGACTTTACGCCTCTGGCAGTCCATCATGTGGAAAGTCGAGAGAATATATTTGTATTTCTGTCGTCCTTGGTGAGCATTGTCGGAGGTGTCTTTGTCACGGTGGGAATGGCCACTGGTCTGCTGGTACACTCCGCAGCCGCCGTGGCCAAAAAGTTGGATTAGAGTCGTCCATTACTAGACTAGAAGGAGACAATGGTACATTTTTGTATCAACTAAAACAGTTCGTTTGCAGCCAGTCCGGAGCATTCGTCTCAGAGATTCTCAGGTTTGCGTGTCACAGTGCCGGCCATTGTGGAGCCTCAATTTGTGGCTGTGCTGTCACTGTTGCATCGCTGTCGTGGAGGATGAACAACCGATGGACCGAATCTATTGCAAAGTCTAAACGCAAATCTCAGTTTAGCTCTCTATTTATTCGTGAAAGATTGTTTCCAGTGACGCCAGATGGTTTCAGGTCAATGGCAGCAAGCCAATGATGACCCAGGGAAACTGGTTCTTCTGGCTACTTGGACCTTGCTGGCTAGTGGCATTCCATAAATCCATTGCAAACACCGGTACAATTGCATGTCATGAGGCTACAATCAATCCAGATCTGAAATAGGAATGGCAAGTCACAAACTTCCTGAGGAATAGACCCCGTGAGAGCAGTTTCATTCAGACGGATGCCTTCCATGGCAGTCAATTCTCCAAACTCACTCGGGAGAGTCCCCGACAGACCAGATCCTGCAAGTGATAACCATTCAAGTGAGGTCATCAAGCCCACTTCAGAGGGAACTGTGCCTTCCAACATGGGACTGGCAACAACACCAAAGTCTACCAAGTTGGAAAGGAGAACAACCTCAGTAGCCAATGTGCCTACAAATGTGTTGTTTTCCAGCCACAGTGCTGTCATATCTGTCAACTGATACAGTTCGTGTGGAATGGTGCCTGGCACGGGGCTGTCCTGGATGTGAAGCAAGTCCAAGTTGGTTAACAGTCCAATTTCAGTTGGGAATGGTTCTTCAGGCAAGTCAACCGAAAGTTCCTCCAATTTGGTCATTTGCCAAACTTCTGTGGGGAAGGGCCAAAGAGAAAAGGTTGTAGTCAACAATCAGAGTGGTCAAGGCAGAAAGTGCTCCTAATTCTGATGGCAGCGTGCCAGTCATCTTGTTGGAACCCACTTCCAATTTGGTTAGATTCACCAAGTTGCCAACTGCCGGATCAAGCTTTCCCTCAACGATGTTTCCTCCAATGTTGAACACTTGCAAGTGAGACATCTTCCACACATGGTCAGGAATGGCACCTGAAATCAGATCATTGCCCCAAAACTGCAGACTCTTTAAATTGACATCTTTCTGGAGCTCAACTGGGATCATGTCTTCCAACGTAGCAGTTACATTACGATTGCTGACGATGTGTAATGCCTCCAAGTGGGACAAGAGCGAAAGTTCTCGAGGGACCTTTCCTGTAGTCAAGGAGATTTCCATAGGCCCCTATCAAGAAGAGCAACAGATTTTAGAATCAGCCTACACGAAGAACACAAACTAGAATGAAAAACAAACCTTCCAAACCCAGGTGAAAATAGTGACCGGGATACTGGCTATCAACCTCATCTTGGATGCAAATGCTAGTTTCGTGATCTGCTTGCGTTCGGATGTAGCGGCCAGGATTATTCCAAACATGATGATGGTGAAATATGTGAGCATCTGAGAACCAGAAACATTCGTCTTTCCCAGGATCAAGCCAATCCTTGAAAATCTGTTCTGGCCAATTCTCTCCGTCCATTGCATATAAGAATGTCGCCAAGGCAAAGAGCTGCAATTATTATTGCTTCCAGCCTGTAGGTTTCTACAAGTGCTTCCGACGAGTGTGGCCAATCATTGGCCAATCATTCAATCAAAGGCCAATCATTGGCCAATCGGTTCTGCAGGCTTAGAAAATAGGACATTATTTTCTCAACTTGCCGGAACCATTCTTCTCCACCGATTTGGTCCGAGAGCATAAAGTAGAGGCAAGTGTGCGTCTAAAGAAAGAAAAAGGAACGAGAGCCTCTCTCCTCTTGAAGAGGACTCATTCCTTCTTCCAACGCACCAGAGCAATGGTGGAAATGTAACCTACAGAATGGCTAATAGAGCCACAGTACAGTGCTGAGACTTACCCTAACCCTAACCCTCTCTCCTCTTGAAGAGGACTCATTCCTTCTTCCAACGCACCAGAGCAATGGTGGAAATGTAACCTACAGAATGGCTAATAGAGCCACAGTACAGTGCTGAGACTTTTTCTATAGACCAACTAGACCGCTGCGGTCGCAGTGGTAATGCCCGTTTGGACCAGATCAGGTTTGAATAGTGGCTTTGTTGCAAAAGTAGTATAGTAGACACCCCTGTCCACTATCGTCATCTTCGTGAAGTCGCAAGCACAAAGTAGACCATGCACTCCATGAATGCTGGCTGAGAGAATGAAGTGAATACAATCAGCACAGACCAATCGTAGTATTTCTCGAATACGAGCAACCTCACCGAAAAAGAAGAAAAAAAGGTGCTCTAACTGACTGTACATGTGTACTACTACTACCGACGCAAGCATGTACTACTAATACCACCCATGCATTACCATGAACATGATTCCAAGGCTGATCTACCCACCAACACTC